CCCGTCGTGGCGACAAAGGGGCCGTCCGCGGCGCCCTCCCCGTCACCCGTCGTGGCGACCACGGGGGCTGTGCGCGGCGCCCTCCCCGTCGCCCGTCGAGGCGACTTCGGCGGCCGTGCGCGACCCCCTCCTCGTCGCCCGTCGAGGCGACTTCGGGGGCCGTGCACGGCCCTCCCCGTCGCCCGTCGTGGCGACTTTGGGGGGCCCGCGCGGCGCCCTCGACGTCGCCCGTCACGGCGACTTCGGGGGGCCTGCGCGGCGCCCTCCCCGTCGCCCGTCGAGGCGGCTCTGGAGGCCCGTCGCGGCGCCCTCTCTGGTGCCCGTCGTGGCGCCCCGAGGGGGGGGGCCGCGCGGCTCTTTGCTCGTCCCCCCTAGGGGCGCCCCCCTCCCTCCTACCTCTCACCTGCAGCGGCCGCCCCTGGAGCAGCCCGCACCTGCAGCAATAGCCCCTGGAGCAGCCCGTGCCTGCAGCAGCCGCCCCAAGACCCGTGCGAGCCACCCCACCGGACGCCCGTCCCGTCCTCCACCCCCCCCCCCCCTGTGTTGCCCATTGCTCCCATTCCGCCGTACGTTCCGCGGTGGTGGGGGTGTGGGGTGGCAAGCATGGGGGTGAGAGGAGTGGGTTCTCCCCTCCTCCTTTTTCATCTCCCACTGCTGCAGCTGCCGCTGAGGGGGGTGGAGGTGTGGGAGCTGTGGAGAGTGGAGCTCTGGGGGTGATGTGGGGAGTGGAGCTATGGGGGTGATGTGGGAGTGGAGCTAGGGGTGAAACTGGGGGTGTGGGACTGCTTGGGGAGGCTGAGAGGAGGCTACCGTCTAGTCGTCCGCAGCACCTGTAGTCCGGGGCGCTGTACTGGTAGCCCAGAGAGCCTGCTGCGCCTGTCGCCCATGGGTCCGTTGCTCCTGTAGCTCGTTGTAGCCCGTGAGCCAGTTACTCCAATAGTCCGGGGCGCTGTCCCGGTAGCCACTGTGCCAGCCGCTCCTGTTGCCCGTGTGTCTGCAGCTTCAGCCGTCGTCTCCCATCTTCTCTCCTCTCACAGTCCCTCCTCCTACTCACTTGCCCGCTGTGACTACCACTAGCTTTGCTCATAATTGTGAACTTTAAACTGTTGCTTCTTGTAATTGTGCTCAGAATGTGTGGTGACATTGTGATCCACCCTGAGCTTGTTCTGCTTTGCTTACTGTGCTGATTACACCCCACTTTGGCTATGGGGGTGTGTCAGAATATGTTGTTTGTGTAGCCTGTAGTGGGGCACTCAATAGTGAGTACAGCCCCTTAGGGTTTGCTATTTGTATCCTACTGCTTGCTAGTTCAATCACTCACTTCTCAATTTAATTCCTTCACACAACCTAGCTCGTACTTGGCGCCTCACTGCCCTAGTCCTACTGTGGGCTAGGCTACTAAGCCTAGGCCGTACTCCTACTATATCTGACAGCAAAGGTTGTACGAGTTTAGGGTTCTACCATTCGGCTTGACCAACGCCCCGGCGACGTTTCAGACGCTCATGAACACCGTCCTTTCCGAGTTCCTAGGTTCATTCGTTGTCGTTTACTTAGACGACATCATGATCTTCTCCAAGTCGAAAGAAGAGCACGTGCAGAACTTGCAGAGGGTCTTTGAGGACTTGCGGAGGGAAAAGCTGTACGCGAAGCAGTCAAAGTGCGAGTTCTTTCTTCCTGAGGTCGAGTTCCTAGGACACGTCGTATCCGCTAGTGGCATTAGGACCGATCCGAAGAAGATCGCAACAGTACAAGATTGGGTAGCACCGACCTCAGTCAAGGAGTTGCAAAGCTTTATCGGATTCGCAAATTTCTACCGTTGTTTTGTTCAGGGTTACGCATCGATAGCTACTCAACTCACCGACCTACTTCGGAAGGGCGTAGATTTCGATTGGGGTCTAGCGCAACAGCATGCATTCGAGCAAATGAAGCAGTCGCTCACGTCTTCACCGACACTGTCGTACCCAGATCCCACTCGCCCGTACGTTGTAGTGACCAACGCATCAGATCGGGCCATTAGAGCAGTGCTTTTTCAGGACCAAGGACGCGGGTTGCAGCCGATCGCGTACGAGTCGCGTAAGCTTAGGGGAGCAGAGTTGAACTATCCCATACACGACAAGGAGGCGCTCGCGATTATCCATGCGTCTAAGGTGTGGAGGTGCTACCTAGAGGGGGCAGATAGTGTTATACGCACGAACCATTGCTCGCTTCGCTTTCTCAAGTCATAGCCGCAGTTAAGTCGTCGCCAGGCTAGATGGATGGAGTTCATGGAGGGGATTTTCCACTACAGGATAGAGTACAAGCCAGGCGTTCGCAACCCAGCAGATCCGCTCACTCGCCCTTGTTGCCAGCTCGCCAGCCTCACAGTTACTGCCGGCCATCCACTTCTCACAGCACTCTTCGAGCACGGTTACACAGTAGATCCCGACTTCACACCGCAGCCGCCCGCAGGAGCAGAGGTGCAGGGTAGTGTCTATATACGGAAGGGTACCACACGGATTTGGGTTCCAGCCTACCGCCCTCTTCGACAGCTCCTTCTCTCAGAGGCGCACGACGTAGTTAGTGTAGGTCACTTTAGAGCAGATAAGACGGCTAAGACGCTTAGACGCACGTACTACTGGCCAGGGCTTGCAGCAGACGTAGAGGATTACATTCGCTCGTGCGACACGTGTCAGCGTACGAAGTCCTCTCGCCAACACAAAGCAGGACTCTTGCAACCGATTCCACCGCCCGAACGCCTATGGCAGGTAGTCACCATGGATTTCATCATGGCTTTACCGCGCACAGTTAGGGGTCACGACGCCATCTTCGTTGTAGTCGACAAGTTCTCTCGAGCATCGCACTTCATCCCCACGCACGGCAAGGTCACAGCAGAGGAAGCCGCGACACTGTTCGTAGATAACGTAGTCCGACTGCACGGGGTTCCAGATTCCATCATCTTAGACCGCGACCCTCGTTTTACTTCGAAGTTCTGGAAGCAATTTTTCGCACTGTTTGGGACTCGCTTAGCCATGTCGTCTGCGTACCATCCAGAGACAGACGGACAGAGCGAGCATGTGAACCAGACCTTGGAGCAGATTCTTCGCAGCATCACGATGCACGACGCAGCCGCATGTGACAAGAAGCTGAGCATGGCAGAGTTCGCCTACAACAACACGCACCACTCCGCCATAGGCATGTCACCGTTCTTCGCACTGCACGGTCAGCACCCCAATGTCCCCACTCGTGTCGATCTCGCACCCACTATCCCTTGTGCGGACAACTTCCACCAGCATCTCATCTTCATTCATGATCACGAGAGGAAGCACCTTGAGCTCGCAAATGCATGCATGGCACGCACCACCAACCGCAGTCGTCGTGAGGTGTCGTTCGCAGTCGGCGATCGTGTTCTCTTGGATAGCCGCAACCTCCGACTGCCACCGGACAGCAAGCTTCGCCCTCGCTTCATTGGTCCATTCGTCATTGAGCGCACACTTGGTCCAGTCGCATACCGCCTCCGCTTTCCCGCTCATTTCCGCATGCACCCGTCATTCCACGTGTCGCTTCTTCGTCCTTACACCGACCCCAACGCCACCTTCTCGGGCCGTGACCGCACTCCACTCCCGGTAGCTGTTGACACTGACGAGCCCGGCTACCAGATCTAGCGCATCCTCAGGCACCGTCGCCGTCTCCAGGGGGGTTTCTCTTTCATCGACTTCTTGGTTCGTTGGCGTGGTTACGACGCAGCAGATGACAGCTGGGTTCCTTCGTCCTCGGTGTCTCTCGACAACGCTTGCCTCCAAGCGTACCTTCAGTCTGCAGGCGCCGCGGATGTCGCCTCCTTGGGAGGGCGGTAGTGTTTGAGGGGTGTTTACTGTTCCATTTGAACAGTACTCCCAACCCCATCGTTCTCCTTATCTTTTCAGATTTCGTAGTGCCACGTGGCACTCTACCTTTCTTGCTTCTACTTTCTAGTCCCACGAAGTACTTTCCGACATTCGACCTTGCATGCTATATCATCCTTGCTTGTATCCACCAAGATCAATCAATTCTCATTCAACTCTTCTTCAATTACTCAGTAACTTCTTCGCCTATTTCGCCAATAGTTCTTTCGCCAAAGTCTTCCGCCGCGTTTATCCTCGACTTAGTCAACCCCGCTAATCCTTAGCGGATTTAGGCCAGCGGGCCTAACAGTTCGTGAGCAAACACTGGGTCGTGTACAGCGGGCGTAGCAATTGAGACGACGAAATGATGTAAATTCGCGTTCGGAGGCGGGGTACGGCTATCATGGTTGCCTCGTGTGTCATGTAGTTCTCTACAAAGGTGTGCACCTTAGGGCGTGTCCCACGCGTTCATTTCTTGTTCAATATCTGTGGTGGAGAAAGGCTCTGTGCATTTTTAAAAGGTTCTCTGCTCCACCGCTTTGAACCATGACCCACCAGTCTGAACATGGGACAAGCCCTAAGCCAAGAATATTTTTAAGCAGTGTAGCATGGGTGGACTTGAATGAGATATATTAACAGTGTACCAAATCTGAAGTACAAACTGGGCCACCCTTCAGTCACACCCTCATGCAAGCAAAAGGCACTGTTTAAACATCCCACCCATTCTCAACCATTGCTCTTTCCTCTCTACTTCTAACCGCAATGAATGTTCTTGCTGCGTTATTGACCTGATGCACATGGCAACCCCATGAATGCTCCCACCTGGATACAGTATGCCACAGCTCCATCTCCTCCACCTCTGCAGGCCTTACTAAGTCCTGGCGAATACAGTGCACTGTCAAGCGGGAATCACTCTTCGGTGGCTTGTCGTAGCCCCCCATTGCCACACAGCCCATGCTGACATACCCCTCTGGAGGGATTGGCCTCCATATACTGACCGGATCTTGCGTCTTGGTCACCCGATTCCTCCACACCTGAGACATTTTGGAATGAGTGCAGAACTTAGTACCAGGGTAGGGAGGAGGGGAGAGGAGGGGAAACTAGTGGGACATTGGCAGGTCGTTTTCTCAAGCCACTCACAAGAAAGTAGTCATCTGGCGTAGCAAAGGCATTGGCAGAACCGGCAGCTAGCGACGCTGGCGTGATGGAGTGCACTCGCACAGCTGGAGGGGGGGTCAGCCCTCGCCATGCCACATCCCCCAGGGAGATGTACCTGCATAGGGTCATGATGAACATGACATGACAGCAACTTTTGAATGCAACGCCCACTGAATGCTAGATATATGGAAAGGGATAAGCACTGACATTTGGCCTACCCTTCTGGAGGCACTGGCTTCCAAATCGCAAAATGCCCAGCTTCAGCAGCATCCTGGCACAGGATTAAGAGGCAGACCCATCAAATGTAAGTGAGAACAGATATGTTAAACAAAAACGTAAAAAAATGACAGTCAGTTACAGAAGTAGAAGCAACATACTCCCTGACAAGAAGAGAAGCAGAAAGATTGTCCATCCTCAACCACCCATGCACGAATGAATGTATCCGTCTCGACGTGCGATGGGAGTGAGTGAGAGGCCGTGGACGCCAATGCTATTGGACGGGTCATGATGAGCGGGTTGGATTCGCTAGAAGACAGTGCACGCTGGCCAATTGCCAGTGCCGCCTCTGAGGTCCGGACGCTGTGCTGGCGACCGAACCTCCTGGACTGTGTTGGCTGGATGGGCCGGGTTGATGAAGTGGTGAGCGAGATAGAAGACCGGCTGCTGGCAGTGGACAGGAACGAGTGGTGAGGAATCTCACTTGGGATCTGCAGCAGAATAAGCACAGAGAGAAGTTGATTCAACGCAAGTGCAGATATATACGGAGAACTCATGTTGAAGAAGAAATCACCTGTGTTGCTTCGAAATTGACTTGCTTGGGACTGTAGGTCTCAAATTCTGAAGCAACTTCCGCCTGCACGTGCTCAGCAGGATGTGATTCTGGGCAGCGGATAATGGTGTAGAGGCGTTGAGGTGTAGGCTCTCGCATGTGCACACAGACTACTGGCCGAGGGAAGCTAGGAATGTACTTGGTCTCCAATGCGAGCAGGTTGTCCCATGGTACATCCCAACGCACAAGGGATGGACCTTGCACCAGTGCCAGTGAGTCAGGTTGGCCAGCTGGATCCACAGGGCACTGAGGAGATACGAGATACAGGTCAGAAAGAAGGAATTGGGGAGGATGGGCATCACGTAGAAGTTTTGCTAACAAAGCAGGAAAGTGAAGCATGTGTTATACAGGAAAACCAGGTTAAGCAGGTTCAAGAATTTCAGGGAAGAAACCACCGACAACATGTTGAAATGTGATGAACAGTGCATTTTTACCCACCTTGAGCATCATGACTCTGCGGCTGGTGATTAGTAGGATGCGGCAGTTGGGCAGAAGAATGTGATTCACGTAGGCATCTGATAGGGCGAACTTGGAGTGGTCCCTGAATATGTCATGCTTGCCGAAGTATGAGCCCGCTTCAGCCAGGAACAACACCATCTGAAATAAAAGTGTTATGAGGGCATGAGAGGATGGCAACAGACATAAGAAAACGCACCAGTAACAGCAGAACTGGTGGGTATGAAAACGAACAGAAGGTAGGGAGTTGGAAGTGATGCCAAGATGAGAAAACGAGGGCATTTGGAAGAAGACAAGAACCTGGCCAACTGCGCTCTCCTTGCTGTACTCGTGAACAACCCCATCAGCAGAGATCGCCCTGGGCAGACGCAGCCGCTGCAGCTGAGGCTTTCGCTGCACCATGCGAGCGCAAGAAGCTGTAGACGCATCCACGCCGGCGACAAGGAACGCCAGAGAGTGCAGGCAGCCCGTCACTGGATGCACCACAAGCCCTGCCAAGCCCTTGCTGAGGCCAAGGAGCAGTCCTGGTGGCCCGTGGGTCTCATAGCCGGAGCGAGAACGGACGAGGACATCAGCCACCCCTAAGGCCACTCCTTTCGCCATTGCTTCGGCGCCATAAAGAAGGCCCTCTCCAACGTTGTCCAGCTGGTTGCCAAGAGCCTGCACACGCATGGAGAGAAACGATGAGGAGATGTTGATATAAAGCAACAGGGTAAGGTTCTCCTTCCACAATCATTCACACTGAACATGATTTTGTTGGGCACCCATGTTGAGCATCTAATTCAGAGTGAAGGCACCACCATTACCTGCTGGAAGTGCCTGTTGCTCATGTCCTCCTTATGTACGAGCCTCGAAGCTCCATGTCCGAGAGCAGTAAGAGTGGAGCTGATGACTCCCAGCACGTCTACACCGGACAGCAGGCGCAGTGACTGGTGTAAGAGATCCCGCAGCACATGCCGCACCACTGCCTCCATGAAGATGCTCCTGCGCAGTCGCCTTGACTCGGCTGTTGCCCCTGACAGCCGGACCTGAGGTACATACAGAAGGGCAGATACGTAACAAAAAAAGAAACTCAATCAGTCACCCAGAAATCCGTATATGCAAGAAGCGTTGCAGTGCAAGGCTGTGAGTTTAGCATTACCTGTGCATGTGCGTACATTGAGGATTTACTCACTGGCATGCGCTTGGTGTTCCCTGCTGCAGTGACAAGACTACTCCACGAGCCAAGGAGCTGTGCAGGCCGGGATGTCGGGGCAGCTTCAAGCGTGAGCTTAAGGTGAGCACCCGAGACGACTAGGTGGCTGGAAAGTCGCAACAACAACACACAAGGAAAGTCTCACAACAAGGTGAGATGGTTAGAACCTTGATATGAGCAATACATTGCAGTGTCAAGTGGACAGCTGCTGTACTGTTGGAATTTCCAAGCCAGTGTGGGATCAGCATAACAAGCGCACAGAGACTCACTCTATGCGAATCATTGGGTCGACCTGGACAGAAGCCACTGCCCCTCCGTCAGCACCAGCAGACTCCGGAGCAAAGAAGTGCTCCCAGTAAATGCTCTCCATAAGCTCCCACAGCCGCCACACAATGGCCTCATGCACATTCACTTGCCACGGCTCCTGTGCCAACTGCGAGCATGAAGATGAATGAAGGCAAGCAATGATAACCAAAAGAAAAAGTATTTAAGGAACCGAGCATGCTTGACAAACAGCATGGAGAAAGGAAACGAACTAACGGAAATACGACTATAGCAATGGCATGACACACCCAGAGCGTGAGTTTTGGGTAGCAGACTTCGTCTTGCTTCATGCTGCCACGAGACGAGACAAGGAACTTGAAAACGTGGTCCTTTTCAGGCATGCCTTTCTGCTCCAAGAACAGTAGCACTGGTAAGGGAGACAGAGGCAGCTGGTTATCAATGCGCAGACTCTTCAGAATCAGCTTCAACCTGCCAAGAAAACACAGGAGAGGTAAGAAACCTATGGAGGCAAGAGAGCAGGGACATGCTCCCTGCTTGTATGCTTTCTCCAACCATGGTGAGCCCCACCTGCTTGAGTCATCTTGCCCATCGTAGCGGTAGTTCAGCAGGAAACCTTCTGAGAATGCATACAGCAACTCCTGAGGTCGCTGGTCAATAATTGACAGCCCCACACTCATAAGGTCCAAACTGATCTCCATTTTTGAGCCCTTGTTCAGGACATTGGCGCTATGCTGCCGCTCAAGCGTCGAGCCAGCAGGTGCGGCCATCTCACCATCCCTCTGCTGCTGCTGCTGCTGCTGGTCCTCCTCCCCAGTCATAACTCCACCGTTCATGAAGCGGATGATGCGGACACTGTCACAGTCAAATGACTGAACGCGCAGGCGTCCACCAGCAGCAGGCAGAGGAAGCGAGGCAAGATTTCCTGGCTCTGACAGATCGTACAGCATGGAGCCTGGAGGATGTGCTCTGCTCTCTAGAGACTCTCCAGTGGACTCCTCACGGGTGCGGGCATAAACCTCCAAACATCTATCCCCGCCTGGGTCTTCCCAAGCAAATGCAGCAGCTGACTTTGGCAAGAGGACCTCCCATGCTGTCATGGGTAGACCACTTTGCCGGAAACAGACAGTGTGGCTGGAGTGATTCTCAAGTCTGAAGTGAGGAAGAGAGATATGTGAATCAGAAATGAAGAAACAAAGAAACAGGCAGGCAAGATTCACGAACCAACCTCAGCCCTTTGGTGAAACAGGAAATCATAGCCTCACTCACTTGAATGGAAGGTGAAGACCCCCAAACCGAAATGATATCATGTGCTTGGAAGTGGCCCCTCCAGCTCGGCCGTCTATTCGAATGAAGTGGCGGGAGTTGTCTCTCAGCAGTCGCACAACAGCGATCACCTCAGCATCCACTGAGAGCTTGAGTGGATAGCTCCACGTGGATAAACTAGTACGAACCTGCAACGTGCAGCATATCACAGCACCATTCACCATAGTCAAGAGGGCAAAGATACGAAGAAACAAGCCAAAGAGCAGCCTAGCAGTCGCACCTGGAATGTGTCTGTTCCAAAACCACGTGGGTAAACAAGTGGTTTGTGCCAGTCAGATGGTGCTAAATCCGTGATATGCTCCTCTGCCCCAGGTGGTCTCACAAATACTGCTTCTCCAAGTCGATTAGTGAGAGTGAGCAACGGCCGGACCTTCAGCACCTGCACACAAAGGAAGAAAAAGGTTAGATGGCGTTTGCATGCGAATGGGTATTCCAAAGCTGGCCAAAGCTCGGGATTTAACCTTTGTAACTTGAGAGCCGAAAGGGCTGACGTCCATAAAAGCCACAAGTGGTAGGTATGAGCCATCGGCTGCTGTGGCTTGTGAGTTGCACATTGTGCTCTGCCGCACAACATAAAGACTTGCGTCAGCGTGCAAAGTTGCTTACAGATGCCAATTTGAAGCATAATTCTAAAATAGATTGTCAACTGAAAACAGGACGTGATGTGGTGTTCCTCACCTGAGATTGAACAGTTGCAATGGACAAGTCGGGCCCATACTTCTCCACGCCCCCTGAGCTATCCAATGCAAAGCGGATAACAGAGGTGTCGTCACATCGAGACAGCATCACTGTGCTTCGTCCCTCAGTCCCCACGTTCACCACTTCGTCCTTTGTAGATTGACTCCGCAGCAGATTCATTGAAGTTTTACCATTCCACTTGTGCTCTGTCCATGGCCGTTTGAAGGAACCACTAGCTATGGCAGCAACTGAAGTCCCATGAGACAGGGAGAGTACCACGGGCGGGCAGCCAGCTGTGTCTACCCAGCAAGGAACTGAGAAGGTGACCTCCTTCAGCATGCCAAAGGTGGCAGACCAAGTCCGATCGATGGACACTTGAAGATGCCTGAAGGTTTCACGGGAATAAACTAAAAACGTGTGTAGAAGAATAGGAGCAAAAATGGTTGACAAGGGATACAGCAAATATATTTACCTGTGAGTATCCTTGTGCATCAGAGTGACTTCTGACGGAAGAGGCTCTTGAGGGTGAAAGATTATCATACGCTCCTGCATATGCACACACGAACGGACATCAGGAAAGGTCAAGGTTACTTCCACAGGCTGCTGTATCGTTGTATGAAGCAAGTGCCTGTAAGCTCACATCGGATTCATCTGGTGGAACCCATGATTCACGAATCTTCAGACACACAAGAAGACGACCCTTCGGGTGTACAGACAAGATGCCCTTCTTGGCTCCAGGTTCCAACACCAGGCCATCTTCCTTCAGCAGAACCTCAGTGGATGGAGGATCAGAGCTCCAGATGGACAGGGTGATTGGCTCTGGCAACAAGTTGCAGAAAGTCATGGGCGCTTCTGCAACAATCTCCCAGTCCGCGGTTGGAGTGAAGCTTGAGCGCTTGCTTAAAGGGGTGCCAATTGACTCCACCAGCATCCAGCGGGTTTCTGGGTGCTCACTGTCTGTTGATGATCGCTGACAGGACAGCAACTCTTCAGTCTTCCCAAGGGTCAGCAAAGGAAAGTCCGAGAAAGGAGGAAGCGCCTGCTTTGAAGTGGAGGTGTCCCTGAGGACCTTTGAGGCATGCTTGTCAACATATCCCCATGAGAATGGGATGGCAGTGGCTTCAGAGTTGTCAGACGGTGCAACACGCGGCCGAATTTGGATGCACGGGTCAGTGTGATCTGTTGATGCAGGTAGGACAGGAAGAGGAAGAGTGCTGCCTGGTTCCACCAAGCCACAAAGAACTCGACCAGGTGCTTTTGCGAGTGGTGACTGCTGCCGAAATCGCACCCACCGCCTCCTTCGGACAGCATCAGGGAATCCTTTCACCCGATGTGCAGTGCCTCTGGGTGGCCACGATGCCTCCAAAAAGCTTGGGAAGTACGCCCACCCATCCTTGTCCACGTGCTCAGAAACTTCAATGTGCCAGCCGGAACTCCAGATCCAGCCAGCAGGCAGCTCAGGCTCCTTGAAACCCTATGGAACAAAAAGGGAACGGCATGGTGAGTAGACATCGGACAAACAGTCGGAGTAAGTTGCATGGCGCAAACTAGCAGCTTAGGGTTACCTTTGAGGACGACTTTGATTTGAGGTCGCTCCAGCCCTTGGGGTCGATAGGAAGTAGGTTAGAGGAGCTCCAACCCAGGAAGGGCAGATGCCTTTCGTTCTCAAAGATCTCAACAACTTCAACTCCTCCACCACCTCCCTCGTCCTGAGAAGCACCTTCCCTTGCTCGTTCTGATACAGCAGCATGCACGGTAGCGCTGCTGTGCTCATCATTGGAGGACTGTGACAATAGTGAGCGTGGGCACAGACAGACCTCCAGGGTAGCCTCTGTCTTGTTCACTACAGTCACCAATGACCTGACATTCAGATGCTTCTCCCCTTCAACCATGGACACGTGAACAGCCAACATCATGCCACCCAGTTGTTTGGAAACAACACCACCACCGTAGACAGAGCTAATGGGGGTCCACGGTCCATCCTTAGTCAGTGACATCTGAAATGGCTGCCACTGCTCCCGGATAGGCAAGTCCGGGACTTCATTCAGAGGTTCCAATCTTCCATCAGCTCCAATCTTGCCAAAGTGGTGGAATACACTGAGGTGAGCAGTGCCATGGTCGCCAGACACCTGCAGATAAAATCATTTGTCAGATGCTGACATTGCACAGAAAACGACTTGCTGACCTGTGATGATGGCAATATGATGCACACTTACAGGCTCAAGATTGGAGGAGAGCCAAGAGTGGCCTGTGGTGGAATTTTTGTGTGACGAATACTCGATTTCTGCCATATTCACGCCAGGCTTCGCAGCGCAAGTGAAACTGAAAAGAACCAATCCTGCAGCAATGAAGAAAAACGAAGAATCAGCTTAGCTTTTACAAAAGCAAAAACAGGAAAGTGACGCTCATGATGGACATACCTGTGAAAGCGCTTCGCTCCACTGCAACACACACCGTCTCTCCTTCCTGCGAGTAAAGTAGCAATCTTCATAGGTAAGATGCTCAAACTCAGAAAGGAGAAACCTATGTTGCAGCCACAGCATTACCTCCAGCGTGCTCTCGAAGAGAAAAACCTCGTTCCAAGAAACCAGCCACGAGTTCCCAGCACTTGCAGGAACCTTCATACTCGTGCGTGCCTGCTGCGCGCACTGAAACCCGTTGACATCAATGGCTGAGGTCAACGAGACCGAACAGACAAGCTCCTCTGGATTAGAGACCAGCTCTTTGGGAATCTGCAGAAATTTCAGTGGGAAAGAAACTCATGTGTTGAAGTTTACAGAAGCTGCTAGCATTCATTTCAATAACAGACATGAATATCGACCCACCTGCAGGTCACCGATACCAAATGCAAGAACGGAACCTCTTTGGACACTGCTGTGATGCTCGGGTGACGGGTGTAAAGAACTGGTCTCCGGTGGCACCACAATGCAAGCCTGGCTGCCAGACGGCAAGCAGAAGACCCTAGACTCCAACTTCTTGTCCACCACTCGGAAGAATAGATCAATGCCGGATGAATTGTGCTGCACGATGTAGGCAGGCCGCTCCGTTGCATGTGTGTACTCTTCTGTGTCCCCTTCCTCATCCTTATCATGCTCGATCTGCAGTACACAGAGGACACAAGCAGAGAAAAAAGCATGGTAAAACATTTCACCTCTCATCAACTAGCAAGCCATATGTCATAAAACTCGGCTCTCACCATGTGAATGGCCCTCTCTGCATCCTCCTTGGATTCTAGGAGCTTCAGCCAGTCTGCGTACGCCTCCCCGAAGTGATTGACGTTCACTGACGATAGATTGATGTTCACCTTGCTGTTGGACACCACTCGACAAGTTGACAGTGGTGGCTCAAGGCCATCCTTCCCAGCCAACTCAGCTCTGCACCACATCAGTATGCACATTAAAAGACAAAACGACGTGTTTTCAAAGAGCATCTCAGGCCTTTGAATCACTGGGAAAAGCATACCTGACCATCCCATGCCAAGGCTCCAAAAAGGGCTCCCAAGCATCTTGCTGATTGTTGAAAGCATCCACACAGCAGCCAGCGGACACCTGATGGACATCACTGGTGCCATAGTGGAGTGACTTCACGACCAGTTTGTCAAGGCTTATCTTGATGAGTGGTGTCATCTGGCAAGCAAGACATGACCACACATTCATTGTAAAACTCCTTCTGGCAAGAAAAGTTGAATGAAAAGGAACAAATGACCAGCATTTCACACTCACCAGGCTCCCAAAGTCATCGTAGAGGGTGACAGAGAAAACTGGTAGTGAGACGTCAACATACACTCGTGAGACTGGCCGCTGCTCATCCAGCACAAAAATGCCCAAGCCAAGGCGCCGAGGTGGCCCCTTTCGACCCTTTGTGGTGACCAAGAAAGACCCAACCTGCAAATACAACACATATCCCAGATATGAGGCTCGACCTGATTGGGACTGCAATTCACCTACTTTACACAAAATACAGCACACAAGCAGCTGAGATGAAGTGGATGCGGAACCAAGCCTGATAAGCGCATGCATACCTGATTCTCGACAGGCCAAAGCTTGCACAGGGGCTTTCCCTTGCGTGAGACCAGTTCAAAAACTGGAGCAGCAGCGATTTTGACAGGCACACATGCATCATTCCGCACGCAACGGAAACTGTCTTCGGACGGAGCTGTTTTCCCCACAGTCACAACCACTCCCAAAGAGCTGTAACCAGGGGGTGGAACTGCTGACCAAAAAGCAACACTGTCTTGTGTGCCTTGAGTCGGAATGTACTTCAACAGCTTCCAGCTTAAAGGTTTCACAAGGAGACTGTCATCAACCCCCTCAATGATAACAGTGGAATCTGGTGGAGAGCATCTGAAAGCCCAGAAGGAGATGTATTGACAGATTAGGGTGCTTGGAAGTTTTGCCTCCACTCGGTGGAGGGATCAAACATAGATTTTATTGGGGAATAAAAAAAGAAGTAAAGAAAATCAGCTCACGCAGAGAAGAAACGGCAAAAACAACGATTGATGAGAAGCTTCATACCCGGAGTGGATGACATCGCCAAGAAATGCAAAACCTTCGGGACAGAGGGGCCTCCACACAGAAATTGCAGTGCCAGAAGTCTCCCTACGTGACTCCCAGGCTAGCTTGAAGAAATGCGCTTGCTGAAATCCTTCTTGCTGCCGTGATGAGATTGCCACAGAGGGAACTTCAAACGACATTGAATCCTCCACCTGCTGAGCCGAAGTCCCAGTTGCAACACCATCAAGGTCAATTGGCAACGATGAAAGATTGCTGGGTGTGTTTGCAGGAAGCTGATAGCGCAAGTCGAATGCAAAGGCACAAGCAGCCTCCTGTTCCTGACGGGCAGAGAATGTGCTCAATGAATTCTCGATCCTCCAGAGCTTGAACGATTGCAGTCCGTCATTCCTGCAAACAGGAGAATGAACGGGTGAACGTTTTGGAGCGTGTGTATGAAGCATCGAGTGTGTGCCACAGCTGATGCAGACGTACGTACACTTGCACCGTTATGCAGCCACGAAGTGCTGCAGGGGACACATGTGATGCTTCTATGCAGTACACAGCAGACGCTGAGGGAGGTAGTGGTCCTGGATGGGCAACACAACCTACAGCCACAAATCCAGGGGGGGGAATCGGTTCCCACACAGAGCACTCTGGACTTGACGAGACATCAGATCCCTCCTCGGATGACCATATTTTAGCAAATGACACTGGTTTTTTCACATAGCCGCCTGCCAGGCTGACAGCTAACACCCCTCTGGTTGGGGGAGCATCACTGCCAAGGGAAGAAAGCACACTGGTCAAAGGCAAGTGCTGCCACTTGATTCAAATACTATAGAAAACATACGATGCTGGCATCACTTACTCTGTTGTCAAGCAGTCACCAAGTACAACAAACCCTGGTGGTGCAATTGGTCTCCAAAACGAAATCCTCTGCATATCAGACCTTCCTGCAGAAACAACGAACTATCTGTGAATCTTGGTGCCCATTCACTGAGTCATTGTGAACCAACGGAAAGGCTTTTCCACTAACCTGCATATGCCCACACCTTCTTGAACTGCAAGCACAAATGCTGAGGATTTTCAGCAACACTGTACACTGAGCTCATGTACTTCTCCTGCATCCTCAGGATGAGCTCCACCGTGTCGAACGTGAAGTGCGTACGCAGATCGGAAACTGAAAACTGGCTGTCCGTGTAGCCTGTTGAGGATGTGAACCTCATTCTAGAATCAACAGGCTCTATCACGCACAACCCTGAGCCTGTGCTGATCCCGGATGACCTGACTGCGACGTTCACCTCCGACATGCCTCGCACAGTTTGAATGCTGCATCAGGACATAGAAGATAAGTTTATAATACTCAAACACGAACATGGAATCTGGCAAAAAACAGAAAAGGCTACTGGAGGACGTCAAACCTGAGATACAGAGAAGCCTTGAGCCTCAAAAGATTCTCTGGAGAAGATAATTGTATTGCTGCCCATCGTGCCTGATCTATGGCAATCAACTCCAACCCAATTGCCTGTGTATGCAAATGGACCACAGATTGTACACCAGATATGTGTCAATTTCAGAAAGGTGCAACAGGTCTTTTGTGAGAATGCGGAAACACAGGGAAAACTACTCACCTGGAGATTGAACTTCCAATGCCCAGAAGATGGTTCAGGCACATGCTGGGGAGATCTGGGCTTGTCAAGCTGCTGAGACGGTCGGTCTTTTGGGCGTATCGGCAGCAATTTGACACCATCAGCTTCATCCACTGAATAACTACTTCTGACTCCCAGTTTGACCACACAGGCAAGCCATTCAGCTCCCTGCATGAAGGGTCATGATTCATTAGCAGTTGCTTACTCACACACTTACAGACAGAAAGAAATAACACATTGTATGCTGAACAACTTACATAGATGTGGACGTTCTTGAATCGGAGGTGTTTTCCTGGGCCGACGATGATCAGAGAAGCTTCAGCAGCAGTAGCTTCGGTGAGCCCAGCAGCCAGCAGTTCGATGGAACCCCCGTTCCCATCAAAAGTAAAACTTGACACACCAGGCGCATCTGCAACAAGAGGCTTCTGAGAGGAAATCTCTAAAACACCAGGCGCTTGCTGAAGCGTGTATGGTGTGTGAAGGTGAAAAGCATCTTCCCATCGAGGAACAGCAGCAGACACAGCTTCAACATCCTCCGAGCGAGTGAAGAAACTTGAAAGGTGGGAGATGAATGGTGGAGCCAGCAGCAGCCGAGGACGCTGAATCCTAAGTGACATGCTCTGGACATCACCTGTGAACTCAGATTCCAGAATCAGAATTGGCAGTGACGGATGGATATGCTCAGCCCCACTTTGTTCACGAGGAAGCAAAGAGAGATGAGTTGGCCATTCAGCAGAAGATGCACTTTCAGATCCCACTGTTGACATCACTCCTTCCATGTCGTCAACAATCCCCAAAACCCAGCGCTCCTCTGCTGCGACTCCAGGGGTCAGGTCTTTGATGAAAACCTGAAAAATAGACAGAAACAACTGCGAGATGCCTCCGCTGTGCAGGAAGTGGCGAAGAGATAGATTGGAAACCTGCGGAAACATTGTCCATGGAAATCAGCCCAGCTCACAAGTTCAACCATGACGAGGAAGAGCCTCTTAAGCCGAAGGCAAGGCATTACCTGAAGTTTGGCGAATGTGGCTTCACGTGAAGACCCTTCATACAAGAGGAGTGCAAGAGACTGGATGTGGACAGATGATTTCACATCCACATGCTTCAATGGCGTCACGGAGGCCACTGGAGTGGAATCAGGTGCTGCCGTGGAAACCGAGATCGACCGTGGCATTTCCGAAAAATTTCCAGAAACACAGTCAAGAACAGTTGCGTACTCTGCACTGCACATTCCTCCTTGGAGATGACCAACCTGCAGGCACAAAGGAAGAAAAAAAGGGATTTTGGTAAAACTCCTCCCACATACTCAGGACAAGAAACGAGGCCAGAAACGGGACAGAGCCATTAGTCACCTTCACTGAAATATGGCAGCCAGGCAAGAGGCCTGTGGGATCACTCAAAGGTCTCTCAATAAACACCTGAAGGCCCACAAGCCTCTCGATCATATTGTCAGTGACATGACCCTTGGTCATCGCATGCAGGCGAATTCCATCAATCTGTTATGGGGATGAATTACAATGGCACAAAGAATCAAATTATCAATAAATAAAGGTCCAAGGACACAATGGCATAAAAACCAGGCCTTACCTCCACTTTCATGACGTCCAGGCTAACATCATGAATTGACTTGCCATCACCAAGCAGCTTCAAGACTTCAATCGAATTTGAAATCTCCAGCCTTCCCACATCAAACTCAAGGTAGCTGCTCACATCAAACACAAGAACATAAGACACGGAAAATAGAGCGAATACTCGGAATCAAGATAGCACGGATATACATACTTTCCGCTTGAGGAAGATTCAGGGAGCAGCAGCAGTAACTCGCCCAACAAGACAGCGAGCCTGATTGGTGTTATTGTTGCATCAACAGCATGTGCAGACGAGTCTTTGACAGATTCATGAGAATGAAGAACCAGTTCTGTGTCTTCTTCAGGTGGTGGTGAGAGCCCGGAAAGGTATGACGTAACCTGAAAGATAGTTTGTCATAGCCATGAGAACCGATAGTTGTAAGTGAACGAGAAATACCAAACAGATGGAGAAGACGAAAGGTTTGTAGAAATCGCCACTCACTTCTTGAATAAAACGGTTAAGGTAAACCACTCGAATTTCAGAGGTCTGCACACTGAGAGAGTATTCGGAACCACCTCCGTTTGAACTAATGCTGGAGCTTGTCAGCATAATCTGCACTAAGACAGGGACACGGACGGAGGTCATAAGGCTGTAGCAACCAGGAGATGAATAAACAGCTCACAAAAGAAATGGTTACCTTTGCGAACGATTGGCCTTCAGTGCTTCTTGGGGAAAACATCAGGCCATATTGGTGGCCTTCACCCAAGCTGAGGTCGCAGATTCGCAGCTGACCAAGCTCAGCATCAAGCAGAAACGAGCTTGCACAGACCTGCAAAATGCCTGATTCGTAAGAAGCTAGTTTATGGCAGCTTGAACATGAGCAGAAAGACTTGACCAATCTTCACCTGAAACTGGAACATAAGCTTCTGTTTTGTGAGCACTGCAAGGGGAAGGCCATTATCTCCATTCAAAGTAATCCGCAAGTCCCCCACACAAAGAGTCAACCTGAAAAGTGTGGTCTCTTTCTTCTGTGCTATCTCTGCCTTCACTGGTAGAGAGCTAGGATCTGCTGCACTTCCAGGTTGTGACTTTGCTGGTTTGGGTGCAAAAGTGGGCACAGCGGCCAAGTCTAAGGACGCTCCAATCAGTGCCAGGACAGTGGGTCGGTTGCAATAAAAGCTCAACCCACTCAGGTCCAAGATTAGCTGCAGAAAAATATGAGCACGATTAGGGACTTCTCCAAAGTAGAGCTGACAACATGGGGGGGATTGAAACAAATACCTCAGCATTCACGCCAGAAAACTCTGGAGAATCTGGAACGCGTATGATGTACTGGACTTGGACAAAAGCACTTGATCTCTTCCAAGGTCGGTCCAACAAGGCAGGCCTGCTTTCAAGAGAAGGAACTTCGTCGGTTGTCAGCGGCTTATCTCCACCATCCACTGGAAAGTCCACAGCATCGTAATAGTCTGACATGCTCCAAAGGCTTGACCGGTGACCACTCGTTTCTTGCGATGGATGCGTCGGAAATGACAATTCATTGGCATCATGAAACACCTCACTCGTCTCTTCCTCATTTAGAGACCAGTCCTTTGGCATGCTGGGAGTTCTCAAGATCTCGCTGGATCGAGCAAGAAACCGGCATGCCGGCCCAGCATCGCACGAGACAAGATCTTTGACTTCAAGTGATGAAAGGGCCGCTCCAAGAATAAGGTCAGAGTTTTCAAGGAGTGTGGTTTCGACCTGCATACGGCAACTTATGAATCGTTACTATGTTGTCAGTTATAGAAGCATTGTGAAAAGGGGAAATGAACCAACATCACTCACCACAGCATTCGAGGCCTCAAGAACCACAAGGGGAGTCTCAGTCACTGAGTGCACATCCGGAAGGTGACGATTCTGAACAGCAGAGAAAAGAAACGAGGTTAATGATAGTGAGAAAAATGTATCACCCGAAAATTCAATGCACTAACCTTCCCATGCAATGTCATCCGCAAAGTACCCATTTCTCCAACAAAGAACACCGCCACAGAATCAGCTGGTCGGACATGTGGCTGGTGTTGGGACCCCAGCGACGAGACTTCACTCAACTGAGGCAATGCTGCATCCTGAACATGAAATGAAAAGGCTCATTAAATACGCACAGATTTTGCATAAGCGTATGAACAACATCTGGTTTTGAACACCTACAGATGCTCGGTGAATGGCAGAAAGCAAGACGGACTTCCAAGCTTCATAAGCCATCGCAGAATCCGGCTTGAAAAGCATGGCGGTTGAGGTTCTCACAGCCTGCATACACCAAACCAGAATTTCAACAAAAATAAAAATATTGCAATGAAAAGCACGAGAGCACAAAAGCTCCACGTACCTTCTCCTCAGTGCAGCCAGGAGGGCAAATCACAAGGGCATTCTCCAGCCCACTGGTGCCATTTTGTGTAAGACAGAGAAGAATCTTGTTTCGAAGGCTGCATCGAAGCAAGTCAGACCTAGTCATGGTTGCGGCAAGAAGAAGAGAACAATACTGAAAACAATGCACGCTCCCACCTGATCCGCTGCTTGTAGGAACGACTATTTTCCAGGGGTAGTACGTACAGAAAGGGCCCAGCCACAGCCCCCACCCTCTTTTGCCAAGCAAATTCAGTACTAGATATGCCCTACAACAAGCCACACTTACACATCAGTCAGCATAATAACCTTGACAGTGTCAATGCGATTTCCACTCACAATGCACACCTGTCTTATGAGAACGTGAATGCAGCCTTTGTAGTCAGCAGACTCCCAGGGCACAACAGATGCAATTTGGGAGTCACATCCCCGCAAAGCCTCAGCTGATCTCAAAAGGCAATGGAGTATCTCAGGAGAAAAGTGAAATTCCAGAGATGGAGCCCTTGCACTGATCCTCAAAGTTGGAAAATCAGGCTGAGGTACCCAGATCTGCATGAAACGAAAACGACAAATTAAATTGTCTTCGAACACAAAAAATCAAGGTGTGAGCGGCAAAAACGCATCCCCACCTGTTCAATTGATGACACGAAAGTGCAGTCTTCCAACACAGGAATCGATTTCAGTGTATGTGATTCTGTGGCTGCAGGTTGGTACCCAAGACTAGCAGAAGCGTTGACAATCTGGAAACAGGCTGAAACGTTTTCCAATTTGGCATGGAACTTCATGTACAGGTCTGAGGTCGTGGTTGATGTGGATGCGTGGTTTGGCTGCAATACAAAAAACGTAAATTATCGGTAGGATAGAGTAGCAGCAATAACTCAAAACCGTATATGCCTTGACCCACCTGCGCCCTTGAATCAAGGAAAAGATGGCCAAGATTTAACACCAATTTGGGGCTTTGGAAGCCTTCGGACAGAGATGGGACTGTGATTTCAGGAGCAAACACATCAAGGACAACCTCAAATCTGCAAGCCACAAAAAAAACGACAGAGATGAAGGCCGTTTCGACAAATTTTGGCAAGAATTCAGCAAGCAATCGAAATGGCAGCATATACCGGGAAACAGAGCGCATGAAGTTCATCAGCTGTGCCTGAGCCTGGCGTTTGATTTCTTCAACAGTTTGCTGGGAAAGAACCAAGCAAACAAACAGATAAACAACAAAAGTCAGAGGCCACAAAAGATCACCAACAAGAAATGAAGCATACAGGGGAATACTAATACCTCAAAAGCGTCAGCAGTGTCCAATGCAAGAGCAGGACTCAAGGCGTCGTTACTCTGAAAGAATTCAATGATGCGGTCCAAGCTTGACTTGATGAACTGCAAACAGTAGTACATGTGGACTGTTTAACCATTGCAATTTTCTACTTACCGTACAATGGCGAGATAAGAATAAATGCTGCATACCAGAACATGAGCCTGCTGAACTGAGCCATGCAATAACCAGTCCAAGTTCTGTCCCTTGGGATGCATCACACATAGAAGATCCAGGGTGTTCTCTGGCCCTTGCCCACTCCAAAAAAGTGCTCCCTCTGGTGATTCCACACAGTATGGTCCAACTTGAACAAGAGTATCTGTGGTTTCCAAATGCATACTGGATGCAACTTGAATCCTCTTGCAGTTGAGGCTCAAAAGGGAAACGCCATGGGAATCCTTGATAACTGATCTGCTTTCCTTCACATGAACAGACCACCGTGTATGCACAATCTCAGAAACTGTGGTCTCGCTGTTTGTAGCCTCGGGTAATAGCGCTTGCAACTGAGTCCAGTCTTCAGCATCAAGCTGGGCCGGGAGGGCAGCGTTCCTGAACAACAACACATGATAAAAAGAATCAGACATGGACATGAGCAAAACGAGAAAAAGACAACAAATACCATGCTCACCTAGGAGCTTTCCCCTTCTGTTTTTTCATTTCTTGTGAAACGAGCTCATGAGCGACAAGCCTGCAAAAGGAGAAACACCATGGTGATTTGTGTGTCCTTAAAAAAGTATATGCACATAAACATGTATGTATAGACATAAATTACCTCCACTGCAGCAAAACCTCTGGTTCAACATCCGTCTCCAAGGACAAAAGCTCCTGATTCCTTTCAAAGGGCTTTTGGACAGCTCTTCGGAGAAGGTGCTTGGCATACAAGGGGATGTATGCATTCCTTATTCTGGTGCGGCGAATGAGCTCATTCCAGTCCGTGAAGGATCTGCGTTGTAGAAATGTTGAATGTGTTAGTTCTGGAACAGACTAATCCGTCATACACTTAACTAACAAGGGTGAACGAAGAGAACACAGGCTATGGCACCACCTACCGCCCCTTCTTTATTTTCTTCAATGTTGCCTTAATTGCAAATGTCCACCATGCTGAAGGACATTCTCGAATGCCGCATGAAGGTCGGATATCAGCCAACTCTTGCCGCCGTTGGGCAGCTGCAAACTTGTCAACAAGCTTCATAATCAGCCGATACTGGTCCTGCAGTCATCAGAATCGAACTGTGAAATGCTGCTTATTGAAAACACAAATCCGTATTTTTTTATAACAAATGAACACAGACCTCCGAAAGCGCAAATGAAACACTGTCAAGCGTCACTGTGAGATCTTGTTGAGGGGTGCACAAGAACGCAGTCTCGTTCTTTCCTGCGCGACTGTATGATGCTGCTCCATTCAAAGGCTCGACCACATATTCAGAAGTTGAAAACTGCCAGCGATCGCTTGATGCAGTCTGTACCACCAAGACACTATAGGTTCAGTATCCAGAAAAACAAAGAGGCAGACAATCGGATCGACACACGCCATACCGTCATGTCATTCAATGATGGTTGGCAATACACTGATAGACCATGTAGCTCTAGAGCCTGAAAATCACAAATTTGTCATGTCAGCCTTCTCCCATGTGCAAGAAAGTGCCATGCTAGGTCAACTATCAATCGCATACCTTTCTAGTGCTATCAAGCTCTCCACCGGACACGTATGTCTCCTTTCCATCCTTGTCAACGGAAAAGGCAGCAAGCCTGTCAAGTTGGATTCCCACAGCTGCGGGTCCATGGATTTCCCTGAAAGAAAAACCAAGAAAATCAGTAGCAGTTGCACATGATGAAAGGATCACGCTAGCGTTAACCACCTCAATGAGTCTTCGTATCGAACGTGTATGTTGGAGATGCTTAGCTTGAGGTTCCCGATCACACGATCCACAATGGTGCTCAACCAGGTTCTGGTATCTCCCTGCAGGTTAGCAATAGTAGCTACTATGAACAACGTGCGATCACAATCTCCTCTAAAGAAAGCTGGATAGGTCAGCTTTGATAGCACTTACGGTGTCTTTTCCGACGCTGGCATCGCGTCGAGACAGGATCAGCTCCTCTGCATCCTGAGGAATAGAGCGTTTAAGACGAGGGGATCATGAAAAGAAAGTAGCAGGATGATACGCAGATGCTTACTTGAACGCGCTTGCGCTTGGCGTTCAGAGCTGATGCCGGATCAAGAAAGACAGACTCGTTGGGTCCAAGTAAGAGCTCAAGTCCGTCCAGATGAATGACGATTGATGACCTTCCGAGGCTCTTCCATGGTATCTGAGATCATATGACAAGACATGATGTTACAATTCAAGTACCCGTGGCATCTGATGCTATTCCTGCTTGAAACGGGTCGCTGGAATTCTCGACTAACCTGAACGCGCAAGGCCTTTACGATTCCTGACTTTATTACAACTGGTAACTGCAGGCGTCTAAGCGCTTCAGGTCGCAAGCGAATATTCTTGAGCTCAATGTCACCTGAAAACCCAGGAATCGCTAATAAGATAACTAAATCTCTGCATCTTCTGCGGTAAAACTGAATCCACACTTATCCCACCTTTCCACACACTAACTTTCAGCGCTTCCTTCGACAGTCCAGAGAAGTATTCCCCGAGATACTTCTGCAGTATCGATGTCAGTTTATCTTCCAACATGGCTAGTGAGTAAATTGACCAAGCGCGAACATGCAGCTCCAGGGAACAAGAGAACAGATTACTATCATAGACGGGAAGCGAGTTTGCAGACAAGTAATTATCCCCTAATGCGGGTCTGACAGAGACCACCAGAGAGCAATTATCCCCGTTCTGGCGCTCCGCATCCGTTTACGTTTGGGTGTGGCGGTGACAGAATTTGCAAATATTACCAAATATTACAGTTCTACAGTGTCTACTAGGCTTCCCAAATATTTGCTTCTCCAAGAGTATTGGAATCTAGCGACAACACAATGTTTTCTAAACGATGCAGCACGGTTCTAGAGAATCTGAAAATCCAAGACAATCCGACATGAATCCTCCCTTTCCCCTGCTCAACCAACGAAAGCTTCAATCTGTGTCCGCCCTAGAAAATAGGTGGTTCTAGTGAAACGACATCATGGATGGTGAGACGGAACGAAAGATCGCAGCACTCATTCTAGCTGAGGCCCAGCGGCTCAAGGCAAGAGCTGTTGAGGAGGGCGTCAGGGCGTATCTGAAGCCTCATGTTCGGTATCGTCCTAATTCGCAGTTTCTCCGAGCTACCGTGCAGAGTGTTGAGTATGGTGAGCCTTTTCAAATGGCAAGCGGCACATCTTCCACTAATCTCAGCGTCAAAGCGCCGTTTCCGACATCACTTGGGCGCAGTGGCACCTTTTCGTGTCATCTGCACGTGCGTTACGCACTTTCCACCGCCTGCTGCTCACTCTCCCCAATTTATTCCACGTTCGCAGTCGAACCCTGCTATTCGGATCGTAACATTATCCATGCATCCGTTAACATATAGCTTTTCTTTCTGAATCATCGTCTTACCGCACGGTCGACGCAAATAATGTGTATGGAGCGAGAACCATTGTTCCCGTCAACTAGTAAAACTTTCGAATCCCTGTCTTCTTGAACCCTGTTTCAACAGCCAACCGCGTGGCGGACGTGAACGAGATGTGGAAGGAGCGAGAGCTGGAGCTGGCAGAAAGCCGGAGAGAGAGACGCGAAGATTCGGCTGAGCGACCGACGACGTCCAGGGATGCGAGGGGGGGAGGCAGCGTGGGGGAAGCACGGAGAACGCAAAGAAGTGGCGATGGCTGGAGGAGGGAGCGAAGGGAGAGAATTAGGGACGATAGTCATTGGGAGGAAAAGAGGGGGATAAGAGACGACGAAGAGAAGGGCCGGCGAAGAGAGGACGGGGAAGGACGAGCTTGGCGAAGAGGGAAAGAGGAGGAACTGGGGCCTTGGCGGGGAGGAGGAAAGCACGAAATGGGAGGAGAGGACGGAGAGGATGGCAAGAGAGGAGAGCATGAGAGGAGAGGAGAGCACGAAAGGAGAGGAGAGTATGAGAAGAGAGCTACACAAAGAGGGGAAAACTTGAGATTCAGCAGCGGTAATTTTAGGCAGATCTCGCCTTTGCGACCAGGACAGAGAGGGAGCAGTAGAGAGCGTAGCAGCGATGATGAATTCGAGGAACAGAGAGATCGAGGGTGGGATGCTGTGCATGGGGAAAAGCGCAGCAGGAGTCCATATGGAAGTGATTCTGCACGGGAGAAAGGACGGTTTGGGAACGCAGGGAGGGGTAGAAGTGGAGGAAGAGGAAACACGACCTTGTGGGAGGACGAAGTAGGTGATGTCAGGAGCGACAAGCATGAAGGAAGGAAAGGATGGGTCGAAAGTGATCATGGGGCAAAGTGGGAAGGGAGGAGGGATGTGGACGGTGAGATGGGCTGGGATGAAGATTGTTGGCGTAGTGACAAGCCAGAGTTTCGGGAAGAGGATGATTACGAGGAAGGTATGAGAGATGAGGGACGGGGAGGAAGGAGGTCCGTTCGAGTAGGATCGGATGGAAAAGGCAGGTTGAGGTTTAAGGAGAATGGTCATAAGCGGGGCACATTCCCTGATGATGGCCCAGACCAGCAATATGGTGATGATTATTTGGAGAGGCAAGGGCGTGAGCCTGTTGAGGATCATAAAAGATACGGGGGAAGACATGAAACAGAAGAGAGGCGCGCTGGACAGGAGAAGGAACAGAGATTGGATGGGACAGGCGAATATGAAGTTGGTATTGGAGATGGTCCGGTGCAGGGAAATGGGCACAGGGAGATACAAAGGGGAAAAGAGCATCAGAAGAGGCCCAGGCAGGATGATGGAGAGGGGGTGGGAATGGGCAGCTGGAGTGATGCAGATGAGGAGCAGAAGGGCATTGATGACTCTGACCTTCTTACCTTCCTTAAGACTAAGTGAGCTCCTTGCCTGCACCTGACGACTACCATTTTCTTTCCCTCGCTCCTTAATTTCCCCCTCCCCTTTTTTCCACATCCGTTGATGATTTATGCTAAAGCAGTCAGCCATATTAGGGGTACAGCAAATCTGGGAACAGTTCGGCGCATGCTGCAGTATGGAATCATAGCATATTTCCACTCTCAACCATGTCCCCGATCTAGCCAATTCATATCCCCCCTTCTTGCCTCTGCTTACTCCTGATTCTTTCTCTGCCCTCCCTCTGTGCTCTCCAGGGCCAAGAGAGGTAGAGGGGCCATTGGCTCTCGTGCCGATGCATGGGGATCGGAGCCGCCTTCACAACTTGCAGGCATGCAGGGAGACGCAAAGGAGGGGAGTGGAGCAGTGGGCATGCTGCTGGCGCGAGTGAGGGAGGAGTGGGAGGACAGCGTGGTTGCTGGAAAGGGTAGAGGGATATCAACCTCATGGGCAGCTGCTGACCCTGCTGCTCTTGGTGCTGCTGGTGCCGCTGGTGTTGCTGGTAGCGGTCATGCTGCAGGTCGAGTTGGTGGTGCCGCTGGAGGGACTGATGGCCGATGGATTCGAGGTGTTGCACTGGATGAATGGCCTCGTTGCACTGCTGGTGGTGCTGCTGGTAGCAGTGGTAGTGGCGGCAGTGGCAGCAAGAGTAGCGGTGACGGTGGGAGTGGCAGTGGTGGCACTGGCACTGGTTCATCGAGCAGTGAGAGCAGCTCGAGTTCGAGTGAGAGGAGGGAGAAGAGGAGGAAGGAGAGAAAGAGGAGGAAGCGGAGCAGCAGCAGACACAGGGAGAAGAGGGAAAAACACAAGAAACGACGAAAGGTGGAGCACTCAGAGCGCAAGAAGCGACATAAGAAAGAAAAAAGAAGGAAGCACAAGAAAGGCTCGGAGCAGTGACGCAGAGCAATCCTCGTGTCTTTGTACATAAAACATACAGGTTTGAAGGACACATCCAGGAGACGTTCGGCCCCAAAACTGTCACCACTTTCACGTGATTGGTTGAAAGTTTTGAGTGGGTTTTTGACGCAATTGGTTCTCAATTTTCCCACCGAACCTCTTTCTGGGGTTTTTCGAACCTACAATTTTTTTGTTGACTTCATTGTGTAATTTGGGGTGTTGCCAGTCTTAATGGGAAGTACCGTAATACCCCGGATAGAAGCGCATCTGCGCTTATAATAAAACAGTGTTTTTTAGGGGGGTGCGCTTATAAATGAGTCAAAATTATAAGCGCATGCGCTTATATAATAACAAACACAGAAATATGTTATAAACGCACCAAACTGTGCATTAGAGTCTTGCAATTTCATTCAAATCGAAATGTGTGGAGCGTTCTGAATCAGAATCTCGCGAGGGCGATTCTCTGCTGGCGCACAAGGGCAAGGACACGTCACTTTCGCATAGGAATGTGTCATGCTCGCACCATGAGAGTGTACGAACCAATAGCTTGCAGTCGCTCGTTCGCATCGCACAGGCTTGCCCCAGTGTACGACCAATAGCCTGCAGTCGCTCGCTCGCAGCGCACAGACAACAGGTGTTCCCGAGCCCTCCTGTCAGGTCAACTTCGCGCTGTTGCGCTTTTACTGAGCGAGCCTGCCCTCGAGGGAGTCAAACAGAGTAGAAGTGGATGTGGACTCGCTTTAAAACGGGAAGTCGTTACTGTTTTAATCCGTTTTTTTGAAATATGTTTATACATGCGCTTATAATAAATCAGGGTTTTATAAGGGGTGTGCTTATAATTGAGGATCGGCCATAAGCGCATTGCTCCAGATACAAGCGCATGCGCTTAACATAGGCCTGCGCTTCTATCCGGGGCCATACGGTAGTGTTCCTACCCAGTCTTGGCCTTGCACAATACTTGCACAAGCTTCACACTTCTAGAAACATTACCTTTACTGCTCATATGTTTGTGTGTTGAGTTGCATTCATCATCCAGCATTAAAACCCAAGGTCTTGTTGTTATAATAAGTGTGCTGGCACTTTATTATGTAAAAGTTTTTGCCACGCAGGAGGAGCACGCATTGTATTCCAACTATGACACAGGTCATAGCTATTACACTGACTTTTGTCCTGAGGAAACTCCTGAATCACGGTTACGCAAACCTCTAGCGAGTATTGAATGAAAGACAGTCTTCAAGGTTTATGTTGGGAGACTCACCTTTTCCTCCCTTTCCTCCCTGCCATCCCCTTGTGCGGAAGGCATACCTAGTATCAGTCACACGCAACGCCGATAGCGCCTGATCCGTTTCCTGCAATCGCATTTCCGCTCATTTTGATTGTGCACTGATCCGTTCCTCTTCTTGCTGCGCGAATCCTTGAATCAGATCTTTAAATATTATCTTTGCGAAAAGCTAGCAGCCATGCCGAACGTCGACTGTAGAATGTACGAGGCGAAGTTTCCGGAGGTAGAGCAGGTGGTGATGGTTCAAGTTAAGAACATCGCCGATATGGGCGCGTATGTTTCGCTTCTTGAGTACAACAATATCGAGGGTATGATTCTCCTATCGGAGCTATCCCGTCGTCGCATTCGTTCTATATCGAGTCTGATCAAGGTCGGCCGGCAAGAGCCCGTTATGGTGGTCCGCGTGGACAAGCAGAAGGGTTATATCGATCTATCGAAGCGGCGTGTATCGGAGGAGGAGGTGGCGGCGTGCGAGGAGAAGTACAATAAGTCCAAGATGGTTCACAGCATCATGCGCCACGTGGCAGAGACGTCCGGCGTCGATGTCGAGGTGGGAACGATCGCACGGTCAGAAGTCCGTTAACCGAATCTACTGTTGTCTCTCGCCCTCATCTTATCAGTATTTGCTCACAGCGTTCCCGTTGTTAAACCCTTTTCCCAATATCCACCCATGGCATATTCAGAGACCTCCGCTGTTTCTTCCAAATTCTTGGCGCCCCTTTGAACACCTTTCCCCCTCTCCCGTCCCCCTCTCTCGTCCCCCTCTCCCCTCTCCTATTCCTCTCTTCCCCACCCCCCACCCTCTCTTCCCCTCTGCCTCCTCCCGTCGTGGCCGTGCAGGAGCTATACACGAACGTGACGTGGCCGCTGTACCGCAAATACGGACACGCGTTCGAGGTGAGAGCGGGACTACCCCTGCTGCTGGGGGTTACCTAGAATTCGACTTTTGTAATGACCTGCTCGCAAGAAGTCGAAATGAACCGGCTAAGAGCTATAGGCGGAGAGAATTCTTGTTTCAGAGAGCTTTTGCGTGAATTGGAGCAGTTATATTGAGTGCATTTGAATTGAGGTGGGTGGAGTGCAAGACATTTAAGGATCTGGGCCGTACCCCATTATGAGCCCTTCGGCCAGAATCCCACTTAGAAGGTCACGTGGATAGAGCCCTTACCAGTTGATATGGTTCTGCATGATGTATTGTGCTGGGTGCATGATTGTGTCTGATGACAGTGACCGGTGACCCATGTACTTGTGACCCATGACCCTTAACCCATGATGACTTATGACCCACCCATGATCCACAACCCGCGGCAGGCGTTCAAGCTGGTGGTGACGGATCCAGACGCGGTGCTGGGGGGGCTCACCAAGGAGATCACTGAGACAGGCGAAGACGGCAAGGAGGTCAGTTGTGGGATGCAGCAAGGGGGTTAGTCCTCAGCCATACAGTTTGAGAAGACTGGAAAAAGTTGGTGAGGTGTTTTTTTTGTGATGAAAGGAATTTAACTCAGGATGGTTCATGTTTGGGGTTGGGTCGCACCCGACTTCCTTTCCCTTCGCCCTAGTCACCCTCTCACTCTCTCTCCTCCCACCCTAGTCACCCTCCCAACCTTGCACCCTCACACCCACCACCCCCCCGCCTGCTGTCAGCCCGCTGCAGGTGAAGAGGGAAGTGTTGGTGATGCCAGAGGACGTGCGGGCGAACCTTATAGTGTCACCTCTCGGTCTTCCTTAACCTTCCCCCTGAATCCTCCACCCTCCCACCTCCCACCATCCCACTCTCTGTGTGTGCGCACGGCAGGTGAAGAGGGAGGTGCCGGCAATGCCAGAGGACGTGAAGGCGAACCTGATTGCCAACATCCGGCGCAGAATGACCCCACAGCCCCTCAAGATCCGAGCAGACATCGAGCTCAAGTGCTTCCACTACGATGGCGTGCTGCACATCAAGGTGCGCCCCTCTGAACGCTTGTTGTTGGCATGCTCTTTTTTTCTTTCTTTCTTTTGGAAGTACGCCTCTGAGCGAGCCGACATTGAGCTCAAGTGCTTTCACGAATCACTACGACGGCGTGCTGCACATCAGGGTGCGCCCACCTGCAAACTTGCTGGCGGCGTTTCTCCTTTGTTTATTATTGTCGCACCAGTCAGTCAATGCCTTTGACGGCATCGAGCTCAAGTGCCTCCACTACGATGGCGTGCTGCACATCAAGGTGCGTCCTACCCATCGCAGCCTTAGAGCTGTTAGCTGAGTGTGTCCTACACATCTTGTTTCCCCACCCCCACCTCCATCCCCACCTCCCCCCCCCCCCTCCGACCCCGCCCTCGCCCCTTCTACTGCCCTGCCCTGCCCCTGCTCTCTTGCCAGTGTGCTATTCACCGTACCGAACCGAGCATGTTTTAGTTTGCCCTCCATGCCCCCACTGTCGCCCCTTCCCCTGCCCTCACCATGCCCTCTCCCCAGGACGCCATGCGCCGGGCGGAGCAGGAGAGCGAGGAGGACTGAGTTGAGTATGTATGGACAGAACACATCTTGTTTCCCCCACCCCCACCTCCGCCCCCACCCTCGGCCCTTCCCCTGCCCTCACCGTGCCCTCCCTCCAGGACGCCATGCGCCGCGCGGAGCAGGAGAGCGAGGAGGACGTGAAGGCGAACCTGTTGGCATCACCTCCCTGTCATCCTTACCCTTCCTTCCTGTTCGTCTTCACACCCCCTGCCCTCACCTCACCGTGCCCTCCCTCCAGGATGCCATGCGCCGCGCGGAGCAGGAGAGCGAGGAGGACTGTGCGGTGCGCATTGTGCTTGTGGCACCGCCGCTCTACGTCCTCACCACCTTCACACTCGCCAAGGTGGGCTTGCTAAGGGGCACGCTGCTCATATATGTGATAACCTCTCTTGTTCTACTGCTCTTCAAAGCAGTGTTCACTTGTCTTCTCATGCTTTCGTGATTGGCTGCGTCCTGGTCACTCACTCTCTCAGCCCATGGTAACCCCGCTCGTCCTCCTCCACCCCCCATTTCTTTGCAACAGATGCTCTTCAGGCTAGCACAGCAGCAACTTGTGACTAAACTCCTCCGCTTGTCCCTCGCCCACCTTCCCCCTCTTGTCTTCCCCCACACCCATACTCCCCCCTCCCCAGTGGTGTCTTTCAAAACGTCCGGTGCAATCAGGACAAGGGCATAGCGGTGTTGGAGCGGGCCATCAGAGCAGCGAGTGTCTTATGAGTGGGCTCATCCGTGTCTGCACCCCGCCCCCCCCCCCTTCACTATCTCCTTCACTCCCTCACAACGTCCGGTGCAATCAGGACAAGGGCATAGCGGTGTTGGAGCGGGCCATCAGAGCAGCGAGTGAAGAGATCGACAAGCACAAGGGCAAGCTCACAGTCAAGGAGGCGCCGCGAGCGGTGAGTGCATGGCATGGCGGGATGGAAGGAGCAGCGTGGGGTGAATGCCTGGTGTGATGAAGGAGCAGCGTGTGGGTGGATGCACAGAGCGGGAATTGAAAAATTATGACCACAGCATGCGTGGTCAGCTGCAAGGATGATGACCACAGGATGCGTGACGGCTGCAACTGGAGGTGATTAGTGGCGATGTGTTCTTGTGGGAGCGCGTTGTTGGTGCTTGTTCTTGCGTAATTTCTGCCACTGGGAAAACGCTTGCAGAATTTGTGCTCTCACCGCATCTCTCAGCACGCGGCTCCCCATTTCTCCTTCACTCGCTACTCCCTGGTCCTGGTTGTTCACTTGGTACCATCCCTTCCCACACACCCCCCCCCTCCTCTCCCCACCTTCCCTTCTGCTGTCCCCACCCAGGTGAGTGACCGTGATGACCGGTTGCTGGCAGAGCACATGCAGAAGCTCACAGACGCCAACGCTGAGGTGGATGGTGACGTGGACAGCGAGGATGAGGACGAGGGCATGGGCTCTGTTGACATTGACAACGCCGGTCTCACCGAATAGATTACCGTACCAGGAAAATTGAGGATTTGCAGTGTTTCAAGGGTGCTCGCAACCCTAGGATAATTTTGTGTTTGGATGGACTGAGTGCGGTTAGGTTAGGTTGTATGAAGCATGTTTAGGCCATAAGAGCTTGTGAGATTGGAAGCCACTGGTTGCAATGCAAGCATCTACCATCTATTTCCTTACATTGTGTGCTGTGCACTGATGAGTGATTGTAAGTTGCAAATGATGCAGATCCCAAGCGTGTGAGGGAAGATAATCTAGAGCTCTTTAGTACTATCCATAAAGGGTTCGTCACTGGACCGGACTCTAGACCACACGCATTTCTTTTTTTTTTTAATAGAAGGCCTTTCACTATATCAAGGATACAGCAAAAGGGGCCACAGTCGTAACTGTTGTGAGGAGGGGGGCAATTTGCAAGATAATGAGAGAGCCGCCCCTCGTATGCCCCTCGTGCCCCTCGACCACACGCATTTCGACTAAGTGCAGGTCAGCGGCATTGAAAGCCTTCACCGAACTGCAGCTCATATCACCCAGCTTGATCCCATCTTACCTCCGCTTCCTCGCACCTTCCCCGTTTCGTGTGTCTATTTGCTGAAATGGACCCCTTCACAGAATCCCGATGCATAGATAAGTGGTGGAAGCTAAAACTACTGCTCGTTACTCTTCTCCTACTACGATCAGACAACGGGAGTAGCTGCTTTTCGCAACCAGATTCTAGTCTACCCGGCTACTCAATCTGTGACTGCTTATCTTCATTACGCGTGGCCATTCGTTCTTGCCCTAGAATCGCACGGGTCGAACAAGAAACTTGTCCACGCATATTTTTTCTCACACAGATTTATCGGTCCACCCATTCGCCCATTAGTGGCGGCTGTGTCTTAGACGGCGGATTCTGACCGGCCGTGGGAAAACGGTGGTCGCAGACTTCCTCTTTCTGCTGCCAAAACTGAGAGGTGCTCGGCGCCATGGATCTCTTATTTGGAAAGAAGAAAACACCAGCAGGTAACGGCGGTGTAACCAACCTCGCAGCTGGACATTGAGTCCACGGAATGTGTTCCCTCTTTGTCTTATATGCCTTCGTTGGGAATCTGACTTACTCGGTCTTCGCAATTTCCTTGAATTGCGATTTACATTCCAGCTTGAAGTCTCCCCCTGTGCGTACCTCTATTCCTGCAACGACTGCGAGCTTACACCTCGCTTTCGACTTGTTTTCCACCAATGCGTGCCACCAAATGATATGTCGCGCGTTTCATGGCGAAATTATGAGGAACTCGTTGTCCTTGCCCCAGTGCTTCCTGAGCACCTGATAGAGACGTTCCAGAAGCACAAGCGCATGAGAAATCGATGCACAGTTCCCGATGCTTTCGTTATGCCTGACCAGAGAGAGAACCTGTGGGACAAAAAGCTCTTGTGAAATCACTTGAACGGGCCTCTCTACTTTCCCAGTGCTTTCATCTTCCTAAGCTGTCTTCACACCCTGACCAAAGATTTTGAGCGAGAACAAGCGCATGTCATATTATCGCACTGCCCTCAATGCGTTTCCATGCTTTCCTTGTGCCTGACCAAAGATTCTGCGAGAGAACAAGCGCATGCAGGACCGGTTGATACGGGAGCTGGTCGGTCTTTTGGACTAGCCAACCAGACTCGTATCATTGCACTGTCCTCCTCACTTCTGTCCCGATGCTTTCCTCACGCACTGTCTACCGTGCCTGACCAGAGGTCCTGCGGGAGAACAAGCGCATGCTGGACCGGTCAATTCGGGAGCTGGACCGCGAGCGAGCGCAGCTGCAGCAGCAGGAGAAGAAGCTCGTTGCTGACATCAAGAAGTCGGCGAAGCAAGGGCAGATGGTGAGTCCACTCTCTGGTCAACGATGGTAGAGATTATGTGTTGGCATGGCTGACGTTAAAAGGTTAGTGAAACAAGAGGAGTTGGCGCGAGCTTGATTGGAAGGAACAGAGTAAACGCATGAAATTCACACTCACACTACACGTATATGCCATGTGCATTGTGCGCCATAAAAAGCTCCTCCGCACACCAGCAATGACAAGGCGTCCAGCATGTGTGCACACACATGCAGCAATGATCTCCATTCCCCTTCATCCCTCCATTCTCCTCCAGTCTTCCCACTCCTTCGGTCCGGATCCCACTCTCAGACCCATACCCATACCCCCTCCTCCTCCCCGCGCATGCCCTCTTGTGAAACAGGGTGCGGTGTAGGTCATGACCAAGCATCTTTTGAGTCGACTCAAAAGTCATCTCTCAGCCCCAGCCCCGTACCCCCTCCTTCTCCCCGCGCATGTCCTCCTGTGAAACAGGGTGCGGTGCGGGTGATGGCCAAGGATCTGATCCGCACGCGGCATCAGATCACCAAGTTCTACGGGCTCAAGTCCCAGCTGCAGGGCGTGTCCCTGCGGATACAGGTGAGACACACACACACACACACACACACACACACACACACACACACACACACACACACACACACACACACACACACACACACGTGTACACGCACACACGCACACACACACACACACACACACACACACACACACACACACACACACACACACACACACGCACTCCACTCCTGATGCCATGCTCCAGCCGTCTCCGAGCTATTATGGCCCGCTTCTTAGCTCTTCTCTGCCCGTGATTGTGTCACTTCTGAAAATTCTTGAAGTCACTCGGGCATTTTGGGCCTTTGCATCGTGCTTCTCTGTTTGTGATACATTGAAATCACTGTCACCATGTGCATGCTCTCCAATCGGCCTCTCTTCCATCCAGCTCTCCCCCCTCTTGGTGCTCTTTAAGCTTCACGTCCCCTCTCCCCTTTCCCACTACTCCCTCACCCCGCTCCCACCTTTACCCTGACTTTCCCCGCCTTCCCTTCCATTGGTCTCCCCCATTGTGCTCCCCTTAGCGCCCCCATTGCAGACCCTCAAGGCGACCCACGCATAGACGATTTTCCAGGCACCTCAACCCCCCCCTCCTCCTCCACTCCCCACCCCACTCGCACCCTTTCCCCATCTCTCCCCTCCTTCCCTTCCCCCGCCTCGGCACCACACCACCTGCAGACCCTCAAGTCCACCCAGGCTATGGCAGACGCTATGAAGGGCGTGACCAAGGCCATGCGATCCATGAACAAGCAGCTCAACCTGCCAGCCATGCAGAAGGTGCGTCAGAAGAAAGTCTGTTTCTACCTCTCAGAACTCTTGAACCCAGACGGGGTGTGGTTGTGTAATGTGGTGAATGGGGTGATAAAAACCATGTGATCCATGAACAAGCAGCTCAACCTGCCGGCATTGCGAAAGGTGCATTAAAAGAGAGCCAATTCCTACTTCTGAGAGCCATTAAGCCCAAACCTGGTTTGTGAGCCCTCTGTTGGACATGCTAGCTTCTTTACCATTCATGATCCAACAGCTGTTAAGGACCTGTGTGATTTGGTCTGTTTCTATTATGAAGTTCACACATGGGGCCGGGCCGCACATTGTCGTCTTTCTGATTGCTGGTGGCTGGAATCCTGGTCTTTCATGGTCCGTGCACATTCTGTGTGATTGATGCAGATTCGGGGTGATGCAGGAGTGTGAGTGAGATGGCCCACAAATATGATGTTGGAGGCTTTGAGTGGCACGGGATCCTTGATTCTACACATCCCTACGTTTTGTGTTGTTTCACATATGTGTGCGCTTGTGCATTTGAGTGTGGGCAGGTGATGCGGGAGTTGGAGATGGCGAATGAGCGCATGGAGATGACGTCAGAGGCACGAAGAGGCACTGAGAGGCACTGCTTCCACACACCCTGAACTGTTCTCTATGCTTCCACGTCCGTGTGCCCTTGTGTGTGCAGGTGATGCGGGAGTTTGAGATGGCGAATGAGCGCATGGAGATGACTTCAGAGATGATGGGCGACGCCATAGACGATGCGATGGAGGGCGACGAGGAGGAGGAGGAGACGGAGGAGCTGATCAATGAAGTGCTGGATGAGATCGGCATCGACATCAACCAACAGGTGCGTGCTCCTTGGGTGGCAAACAATGCTTTTCTAGTCGGCTCAATGAGGAGGAGGAGACGGAGGAGCTGATTGATGAAGTGCTGGACGAGATTGGCATCGACATCAACCAACAGGTGGGTTTTTGCCGGATGGTCAGCAGGCAGGTGCTTTGAGGAGCAGGTGCGCGCTCTGGAGCAGCTGGGTGCTCCCTGGATGGCCTGCAGGTGGTGAGAGTGCTTCTTATGCCGTGTGCTGTCATGCATGCTAGCCTCTCAGATTCCATACCTCTATCCCACTGGATCGCTGGTTTGTGTAGGTGTGTTTTATGGCATTGTCATGGCCTTATACATGCCTTCTCTGCCACTGCTCGCTTCTCACAGCATATCCTATCCTCCCATTCCAACCCCCCCTTTCCTTCCCCCCCTCCTCCTCCCCACATTTCCTCGTCCCTTCTCAGCTCATGAATGCGCCAACACCAGCAGCGCCCCAGGCACAGACAACAGGCAAGGTGGCACAGGCAGATGCAGTGGGGGCTGGTGGGGGCGGTGGTGGAGGCGGGGGAGGGGGGATGGGTCGTGGTGGCAGCAGCGGTGGTGATGGTGGCAGCAGTGGGGGTGGTGGTGGGGGTGGCGGTATGCCCAGTGCCCCATCAGCAGCCCCGTCGGTTGGTGGTGCATCGGATGATTCTGGGATTGACAGTGACTTGCAGGCACGGCTAGACAACTTGAGGCGGTTGTGATGACTGTTTGTAGCATGCGCTTTTGTGGTTTTGCAACAGCGATGACGTGCACTAGGGTGCACGCTTGATAAGTGCTGTGTAGGAATTGTATTCTAGTTTCCCTAGCTGGATGCACATTTAGTCTCCCCCTGTATTTAGTTCTTTCCACACTAGGTGCAGTGCTACTTCCAGTTTCTTTCCACACCTGTGATGATATCCTTTTTTGACAGCCCTTAAAACCCGCAGCCTGAATTACAAAAAAAGTTGGGAGGTGGTTACCAGTTGTTCACCTGCCAAACGTTATGAAGTCGCAGGCAGCTCAGGGAAGTGTCGCTCGGTTCCTGCACAACCACTCTGGCCGGAGGAGTGCACACCAAACTGGAAATATGTAATTCAGGTCGATCGAAACTGCCTAGTCTGATTAGTTGGAGCGGCAGCCATAGCCTAGAACAGCTAGGCTCCAACCCCATTCCAGCCCCAGGCCTCTTACCTCCGCCTTACTCGTTAGGACTATTAGCCCATTCCGTTTAATCCGTAGATATATCTTTCCGCCATTCTGGGTCACGTTTTCGCTCGACAAACCTAGCCGTGCCCATGCTTGCACATATGCCCATCGTCACCTCCCCATCGCCCACCGCATCGATGTCGCTCCTGTTCATAGCCGGCGGCGTCGTCTTTGTCCTCTTTTCTAAGATTCTATCCAACTAATTCGTCGCATTATCTACTACTCCCCAACGAGAAAACTCGGTCCACTTCCGTCCCACTCACGCACTCCCCTCCATCGCTCACGCTTCCTCGCTTGAACGAGCACGCTCCCTCCCCTCCCGTCTCCTTCGCGCCATCCCCATTGTCGCGCACGCTTGCTTCCCTCCGTCGCGGATTGCAAACCCCAGCTTCATTGCTGTACGGGCACTCCCCGAGACCGATCACTCACACTCCTCCCCGTCGCCCACGCGCACTCCGTTCCCGCTGCCCACGCGCACTCCGTTCCCGCTGCCCACGCGGACTTCCTTCCGTTGCCCACGCTCAAGACCTGCCCGTCGCCCACGCTCACTCCCTTCCCATCGCCTTCGCGCAATCGTGTCGTCGCCCTCTCTCAATCCCTTCCGTCGCCCGCGCGGACTCCCTTCCCGTCGCCCACGCTCACTCCCTTTCCACCGCGCAATCCGTCCGTCGCACACGCACACCCCCGCTCGTCGCACATGGCCAATTCCCTCTCGTCGCACGCTGCCGCCCGCGCCGCGCACTCCCTTTCGGTCTCCTTCCGCCGCCCACGCTCACTCCCTCCCGCCGCGACGGGCCCCTCTGTCGCCCATGCTCACTCCCTCTCGTCGCCCACGCTCACTCCTCCCCGTTGTGCACGCTCTCTCCCCATCCGTCGCCCACGCTCACTGCTCGTACGTCGCACACTCTCACTCCCTTCCGTCGCCCACGCTTACCCCCCTCCAGTCGCCTTCGCTCACTCTCTTCCGTCCCCTTTCTCCCTTCTCATAGCCACCCTTAGTCCCTTGTCATCTCCACCCTTACTCCCTTGTCATCTCCACCCTTACTCCCTTGTCATCTCCACCCTTACTCCCTTGTCATCTCCACCCTTACTCCCTTGTCATCTCCACCCTTACTCCCTTGTCATCTCCACCCTTTCTCCCTTGTCATCTCCACCCTTTCTCCCTTGTCATCTCCACCCTTACTCCCTTGTCATCTCCACCCTTTCTCCCTTGTCATCTCCACCCTTTCTCCCTTGTCATCTCCACCCTTTCTCCCTTGTCATCTCCACCCTTACTCCCTTGTCATCTCCACCCTTTCTCCCTTGTCATCTCCACCCTTTCTCCCTTGTCATCTCCACCCTTTCTCCCTTGTCATCTCCACCCTTACTCCCTTGTCATCTCCACCCTTTCTCCCTTGTCATCTCCACCCTTTCTCCCTTGTCATCTCCACCCTTACTCCCTTGTCATCTCCACCCTTACTCCCTTGTCATCTCCACCCTTACTCCCTTGTCATCTCCACCCTTACTCCCTTGTCATCTCCACCCTTACTCCCTTGTCATCTCCACCCTTACTCCCTTGTCATCTCCACCCTTACTCCCTTGTCATCTCCACCCTTACTCCCTTGTCATCTCCACCCTTACTCCCTTGTCATCTCCACCCTTACTCCCTTGTCATCTCCACCCTTACTCCCTTGTCATCTCCACCCTTACTCCCTTGTCATCTCCACCCTTTCTCCCTTGTCATCTCCACCCTTTCTCCCTTGTCATCTCCACCCTTACTCCCTTGTCATCTCCACCCTTACTCCCTTGTCATCTCCACCCTTACTCCCTTGTCATCTCCACCCTTACTCCCTTGTCATCTCCACCCTTACTCCCTTGTCATCTCCACCCTTACTCCCTTGTCATCTCCACCCTTTCTCCCTTGTCATCTCCACCCTTTCTCCCTTGTCATCTCCACCCTTTCTCCCTTCTCATCTCCACCCTTTCTCCCCTCAGGCTAGAGTTAGAGTCAGCGCATTCAGCGTACAAATGGCAGCGGTTTATTTCCATGTGCAGCACCATCCCTCACCTCACCATCCCTCACCTCGCCATGCCTCACCTCGCCATCCCTCACCTCGCCATGCCTCACCTCGCCATCCCTCACCTCGCCATGCCTCACCTCGCCATGCCTCACCTCGCCATGCCTCACCTCGCCATGCCTCACCTCGCCATGCCTCAACTCACCATCCCTCACATCCCCATCCCTCACATCCCCATCCTTCATCTCACCATCCCTCACCTCCCCATCCCGCATCTCCCCATCCCTCACCCCATCTCCGTCTCACCTCCCCATCTCCGCCGCACCCTGTTGTGTGGCATCGTCACACGTCGCCATTTCTCACCTCTTCCTACTTCCCATCCCCCTCTACCGCCCTTCCTATATCTCTCTCTCAATCCTTTTTCTCGCCCTGCCATCCTACTTCCCATCCCCCTTTCCCCGTTTCCCCCATCCTTCGTTTCCCTATCCCGTCATTCCCTCTCCCTCCACTCCCCATCCTTCCATTCCCCATGCCTACTTTCACCATTCCACCATACCCCATCCTGCGACCTTCCCGTCATCTCCACCTCATCCCCTCCCCTCCCTGCTTCTTCCCATCTTCCACCTCGCCAAAAGTTCCTTCCCTGCACTACCATGCGCAATACCTCTTTCCCTTACGCTGTTACTCCAGATATTTTCATACCTCCTTTGCACGCTCCCAAACCCATCCCTCCTCACCACTTCCCTCCTCTTCCCATCCATCCTCTCCTCATCCCTCCCCATCCGTCCTTTCCCCATCAGATTCTCTCCCCCTCCCCTCCAGGTGTTTCCCACACCGCCCTCGGCCCAGCGGCACCTCCTCATCCCTTGTGCTTTTCTTCACCAGGAGCTGCTTGGGGTGCTGTGGACGGATGGCGGTGGGCAGAGTCACGCAGCAGAGACTGGACGTGGTGCTGCTTGTCCACCCTTCCCCCCGTCCTCCCAACCTCTCTTCCTCCCTTCATCACTTCATCCCTTCATCACTTCCTCCCTTCCGCCTCACCCCATTCCGCCTCACCCCATTCCGCCTCACCCCATTCCGCCCCACCCAATTCTACCTCACTCCGTTCCGCCCCACCCAATTCTACCTCACCCCATTCCCCCTGCCATCCTACTTCCCATCCCCTTTTCCTCCTTTCCCCATCCCTCCTTTCCCCATCCCATCATTCCCTCTGCCTCCGTTCGCCATCCTTCCATTCCCCATGCCTACTTTCACCATTCCACCATACAGTCATACCCCATCTCGCAACCTCCCCGTCACCTCCACCCCGTCCCCTCCCCTCCCTGCTTCTTCCCATCTTCCGCCTCGCTAGAACGTTCGTTCTTCACCACCTCCTATACCCATCCCCTACCAATCCCCTCCTCTCCCCATCCATCCTTTCCCCTTCGATCCTCTCCCTATCCCTTCTCTTGCCATCCATCCTCTTCGAAACCCATTATTTTCTCATTCCCTCCTCTCCCCGCCCCTTCCTCCACGTCTCCCATCTGCCGTACCTCAACCCCCTCTGTTCCTCCCATCCTCCATCCTCATTTCCTCCCTGCCACCTTTTCTCCTCCCCACCTTCCTCCCCTCCCTTCTGCTTCTCTCCCCCACGTCCTCCCTACCTCCCTTCCTCCCATCATCCCTTTCCCCCTTCAACCCTTCATTCCTCACTTCCTCATTTGTGTCATTCTTTTGCATGCGTTCTTCCTTTCTACTACAGTTCCGTCACATCTGACTTCCTGGTGTGTGTTTGTACAGGGGTGCTCTGCATCAGGTTGTGATGTGTTGCCTGTTTCATAGTAACTCACGTATTTTTTTTGCCATGTATGGGTTCTTTTTTCTTTTTTTTTTAATATATGATAATGAGCTTCTGACCAGCAATACACAAGACATGACCACTACCAAGGAGTTCAACAAATAATACAGTACTGTATCTGTAATTGTAAGGGGAATCACTCAACCCACAATTCTACACTGCAAGCAACAAGCCAGGCCGTGGTAAAGTCACAACACCTGGTGCTGCGCTCCTGTAACTGCATTGGGGGATATGAAGGTGAGCGAAGGGGAAAGACAGTAAACGGAATGTGCGGGAGGGAAGAGAAGAAGCAGCGGGTGACAGATTGAGCAGGGGGGAAAAGAGGAGGGGGAAGAATGCGAGAAGGGCGAAACAGCGTAGCAAGGGGACGGGGGGAAGCAGGGAAGGGCATGGGGGGAAGCAGGGAAGGGGATGGGGGAAAGCAGGAAAGGGGATGGGGGGAGGCAGGGAAGGGGATGGGGGAAAGCAGGGAAGGGGATGGGGGGAAGCAGGGAAGGGGATGGGGGGATGATGGGAAGGGGACGGGGGGAAGGAGGGAAGGGGGCGGGGGGAAGCAGGGAAGGGAATGGGGGAAAGCAGAGAAGGGGATGGGGGGAAGCAGGGAAGGGGACGGGGGGAAGCAGGGAAGGGGATGGGGGGAAGCAGGGAAGGGGATGGGGGGATGATAGGAAGGGGACGGGGGGAAGGAGGGAAGGGTACGGGGGAAGGAGGGAAGGGAATGGGGGGAAGCAGGGAAGGGGATGGGGGGAAGCAGGGAAGGGGACGGGGGGATGATGGGAAGGGGACGGGGGGAAGGAGGGAAGGGGACGGGGGGAAGCAGGGAAGGGAATGGGGGGAAGCAGGGAAGGGGATGGGGGGATGATAGAAAGGGGACGGGGGGAAGGAGGGAAGGGTACGGGGGGAAGGAGGGAAGGGAATGGGGGAAAGCAGGGAAGGGGATGGGGGGAAGCAGGGAAGGGGACGGGGGGAAGCAGGGAAGAGGATGGGGGGATGATGGGAAGGGGACGGGGGGAAGGAGGGAAGGGGACGGGGGCAAGCAGGGAAGGGAATGGGGGGAAGGAGGGAAGGGGACGGGGGGAAGCAGGGAAGGGAATGGGGGGAGGCAGGGAAGAGGACGTGGGGAGCGGGGGAGATGCCGGGTAGAGAGCTGGGGGGGGGACGGTGAGGAGCCTGGCAATTGATGGGGGGAAGAGGGAGAGAGGCAAGCAGTGTGGGGGTGAATGGCGATTATTCTGGAAAGAGAAGGGTGTATGTGCGGGTTGGAAAGGGTATGTGATGGCGACAGGGAGCGGATACCAGGAAGGGGAAAGGAAGGTGACGGGAAGGAGTGAAGTGGGCGAAGGGAAGGGGAAAAGCAGGCGACGGCAAGGGGGCGACGGGAAGGGGAATAGCGGGAGACGGGAAGGGCTAAAGCGGGCGACGGGAAGGGGAAAAGCGGGCGACGGGAAGGGGAAAAGGGGGCGACGGGAGCGGGCGACGAGAAGGGGAATAGCGGGCGAAGGGAAGGGGAAATGCGGGCGAAGGGCGGGCGTCGGGGGGGGGCGAAATCGTGGCGACGGGTAGGGGAAAAGCGGGCGACGGGAAGGGGAAGCTTCATATTGTGCGGTTTATTTCACTGCAGTCGTCCGTATCTGTACGAGCAGCACCGCTACAATCCGCGCCATTGGTCCTCTCAATTGCGTTGTCGCACCCTGCCTAATGTAAGACTGTACGCGCAGTGCAGCTACTGGTTTTGTTACCCGTCCGTTCGCAGGACGTTAGGAAACCCTATACTCACGTGGGTAGGTTAGTTACTATTTGTGTCGAGCGGTTTTCAGCACAGCGTGGTTTGGGTCACATGCCCTTCTGACTTTTTGTGTTGGTTCCCGTCGCCCAAATATTGTGCTGCGACACTCGTGTGTTCGCAAAGTGGTTTCGCCATCCAGAAGTGTCACGAACCCACCCCAACCTCGTATTGTGCTCCCTCCGAACCAAAGGACCTGAGCGTTGACTCAGTTTTTGTAATTCAGGCTTCGGGTTTAAAAACGAGAATATCGTCCAGTTGACGCCAATTCGGAAACCTGACAGCAGCATGGGAAGCGGCCAATCACTCATGCTTCCCTCCCAGCCCAGCTTTTGCCAAGCCGGTCCACAGCAGAAGCCTCTGCCGTCAAGCACAGGAGTCAGGACAGCTATACTATAGTCTAGCCCACTGCATCAGCAAACTTCCTGACTAGCAGTTAGTGTCGACTGAACCAATGCTACATCAATGCAGCTCGGAGCGTTGAGATGGAGGGGCTTTAAGTGCAGGTTATTGATTTGTACAAGCGCATGGTGATTCAGGACGAAAGTAGCTACACATTGGTCCAGTGCGATCGCTTTTTGAGTTGATGTGATCTGTCTGGAGCCACCGTTCTTCAGTTACGTATTGCTCATCGTTGCCGTTAGCCATGCGACCAGCGACACAGCAAGAAGAGGCGTTTCTGGAGATGGAGGAGGAGATTGAGGCCATCGAGATTATGAATCTCGCGAATGGTCCACCGCCGATAGAAGTAACCGAAGAAGTAGAGGTTAGACTTCCTTAATACTCGGCCATTATCAATATTTACACAATATCTTGTGCTGAAATATGCATTGAAGGATATCCTGCCTTGGAAGGACGGAGAGCGGAGAAACCACAGGAAATTACAAGGAAGTATGGTAATTTTCTTCTTCTTCTCGCTGTCGTCCATGCATTTGTGATTGTCGTGAGATATTGCGTTCCTTGGCCAAGCAGCTTGTACGTCCAATTTAATAGCGTTCGTTTGTTCAACATGATTTGACGTTTTTCTTTGGCGGGCCGTTATTGCTTCTCTTTTTTTTTGCGTGTTTCGTGCCTTCGACCTTGAACCTCATTCCAATTTCCTGGTTTCCTCCTCTTCCTCATTCTTCCTGTTCACAGTTCCTTTTTCTTTTCTCGCTCTCTAATATTTGAATTCAGACGTTTAACCAAGAGGAAGAGTTGAGAAAGTGGAACGAAGCTCAGCTTCAGGTATGGGGCAAGTTCCCTCATTTGGTGCAAGTGTGTTCTCAAATGCAGAACACCGACATAAATTCGGCTACGGGTTGGCACTGGAAGCTGCCTGTTTGGCCTGCGATGTCGTAGTTATAAGTTGGTATTAATATTGTCTGCAAATCGCCTGCGCACAGGACCGCCTCTGCATGGAGGCGGAGGAACACTTCGGGTTTGAGGAGGTGGCAGCGAGGCGGGCTCTGGAGGAGCTGTACCGTCCATATGAGAAGAACCTCGACTTCATGCGCACTGTGCAGAACGGGTGAGATGGGGACAGTGCAGGGTGGGTGAGAAGAGAATATTGTGAGTCGCATGAGGAACGAGGTGTTGTTGAATAAGGAGAATGCAAGCAGGATGGGGAGGTAAGGAGAAACTTAAGAGGCACTACACAAGCCGCATGAGAAGTGAGAGAACGTTATCTTTTGTTTACCAAGGATGGATCCCTGATTGGGAAGGTAGGAAGGTAAGCATATGTTTGGTTGACTCCTGAGCAAAGGACAAGATGCATTGGAAAGGAATTACTGTTCGGCACCACACCACCCATCCATCCGTCAATCTCATATTTTTGTACTTCTCCACACCACCACTGTCGACTTGCTGCTGCAGCGCTTTCCTGCTGGTGGACGAGCAGCGTGCAGAGCAGGCGAGCTACCGGGAGCTGGTGGTGCTGCGCCATGCGACTGAGCGGCTGCTGCGTGTGGTGGACACGTCGATGCACTCCGTCATCCAGAGAGAGCGGTGAGAGGAGGCAATGCGCGCATGGGTACATGCGTGCGTGCATGTATGCGTGTGTGTGGCATGGGACTGAGCGGCTACTGCGTGTGGTGGATACGTCCATGCACTCCGTCATCCAGAGAGAGTGGTGAGACGAGACAGTGCGTGCGTGTGTTTCTGTGGGAGAGCGGGTGTTGGGTGAGAGTCTGTGTGTGCGTGTCTGTGAGAGATTGTGTGGTGGGTGGGAGTAGTGTTTTTTGTCATTGAACGAGTGTGTGGTGAGGTGAGTGAAGCGGGTGGGATTGGTGTCAGCACATCACCATTACAATGAGAGTGGCAGGTTAGATTAAGGAGGTGACAGTTTCATGTCGATTGTTGAAAGCACAATGCTGTACTCCTCCCATCCATAAACATGACGATTCATATTACCTGCCATTCAAACAATCATTCCTCTCCGCTGTCGCCCATATTTACTGCCATTCATTCTTTATCACATCATCCTAAACTCCCTTCCCTTCCATTCCCCCACCCCCACTTCCGTCCTTCCCCTTTCCTCTCTCCTGTCCCTACCATACTTGCCAGGCATGCAGCGCACAGAGAGCTAGCAGCAGCGCAGAGGGCGAGGCAGGAGGCGGAGGTGAGGCAACAGCGGTGTGGGCGGCTGGAGAGGGAGCTTGGCGAGGAGAGGAGCCAACATGCTGCCGTTGCGGCTCTGCTGGTGGGTGCCATATTGACGCCCCCCTGGGCTGGGTGTTGTTGCTCGATGCTGGTTGCTGCTCTTGTTGGTACCTCAACTTTTTTCCTTTTCCTCTTCATGTTCATAATGCCAGCTCGTTCAGTGTTTTATCTCTCTCTGTTCTTTCTTTTTGTGTCCTTGCTCCTTCCCTGATGTAGAGGCATCCATTTTTTCCTGATTCGTCTGTGTTGGTGCAACCAACGCTGCTGCATTTCCGTTCAACCCTCGCGTAATCATTCTGGGACTTTGTTGTTTTAGCATGACATGCTATGGTGCACTGCGCGTGACCGCACCCATTGTTTTCCCATCTGCCTGCCATCACTGTGGCAGGAAGCAGAGAGGGATCGCAGCACTTGCCGCATCTGCTACACCAAGGTAGGCCTTTCTCACCTATGGTCTGCTCAGCCTGGTTGCTGTATGTGCTGCACCATTCGTGATATTGCATGACTTGTATATTCTTGTCTCCCTGCACGCATGAAATGCGTTTCATCGATGCAAGAGCCATGAGCTCGCACCTGGCATGTGCGTTGCTGATGACCTACAGGTTTGGGAGCTATTTCACAATGTATTTTTTGTTTCATATGCGAATACGCTGCTGATATCGTTCATACCATGTTATGGTAGTGACGATTGTGACCACCTATATAACAATACCCCACCACTTGTTTTCTTTGTTTGGCTCGTCTTGCCTGCAGGAACGAAATGTGCTGCTTCTCCCATGCAGTAAGCGCCTCCCACCCACCACCACCTTTTGCATTGTACAGCCTTCTTTCTATTGCCTTTGAGTGCTGCGAGTATCCCGCCGTAATTTCTTCGCCTTTCCCCCTGTCACTTTGTCCTTGACACCCCCCTGGCGCAATTTCCCTTTCCTGCCAATCGCGTACCTCTTCAGTGCACTTCCAGTTTTGTGGTGACTGCATGGCACAGCACCGTCAGCAGAATAACAGCTGTCCTCTCTGCCGCTCCCCTCTCAGCGGCCTGTTGCACTGCCAGCTGCAGCGATGAGATGATGCCTTTGCCAGCCTTGATCTCAGCGGCAGTCTTCAAACCTTCTCTGCTCTACTGACCCACTGACAGTGAACACAGGGCTATACACCCCAGTTCATACTACCCTCTTGTCATCCGTCTGTAGGGTTATTGTCATCCACAACCACTCCCGGTTTCAAGGCTGGTATTCTAGCAAGGTCTTGCGGCCAGTACTCCAGGGCATTTCTCACTTGCATGCTGTAGAGTTTGATTTCTTTTCCACCTGTAGTAATGTTGTCTGTCACTTGTGACCTTGATGGAGCCTTCACTGACTAGCTACCAAACCAATTTGCAATCGTCTGGAAAAGTATGGTAATTATGGTAATGATTCCCAACGAGAACATGCACATCAAATTCAACTTAACCCTCCCAGCATCACAAACACCCACAAAAAGAGACTCCTAAGACTCCTGAACTTCACCTGCCCACTCCGGCGAGCCTCAGTCCCAACCAATGCCTCTCATCCGTTTACTTATTGCCTCAACTCGGCTGTGGGTGCGGCCTCTTCGATTCAAGTTCAACCCCCTCACTCCCTTTCTTCACTTCCTCTCCTCACCTCACTCATGCCACTCCTTTCTCAAACACTCCCGTCTCTCCCCCACACTCCCATTTCCCCCCACACTCCCTTTCTCCCCGCACTCCCCTCAACCCGCCCCTATTTACTGGCGTGGCCTGGTTGCCTCATGGACGGCAGGCACTGAGAAGAGCACGGCAGGCAGCGTCATCATAGCAGTCATCACTGCCGCCCAGACCAGTGCGGGGGACGAGCAGTCCCACTGGAAGCTCCAAGGAGGCTTCGGGAGCAAAACATTTGATACGGTGAAGGCTGGGTGATGACGACTGTGCCAACGACCCCGGTGTTAGTTTCAGTGAAGTTTCCTTCGCAAAAGCCCTCTCAATAGCCTCTACACAAGCGTCCTCCTGAGGAACTTACTGTGGAGGAGAAGGCGGAGGAGATTAAGCATGTGCTAAAGCAACTTCATTTCATGTTGTGGGCCAGGATGTCACTGAGTGCTGACGAGCCAACCGTTGGTAAGCCGCACACACCGGCATCACACAAACGTACGTTTTCTTGTGCCTTCATTCCCATCCCCCCACCTCGCCCCCATGTGCACGAAGGGATGCAGCCGCGCTGCAACTAACGGTGGGAGCAAAGCGCTTGTTGAGACGCCCGAGAGAGTGGGGTCGGGCTGCCTCCCTGGGCGATTTTTGAGTCGAGTCAAAGTAAGTGGGGCTCGATTGGACTCAAATAACGGTGGGAGCAGGGCGCTCGTTGAGACGCCTGAGACAGTGGGGTCGGGCTGGCCCCCTGGGGCGGCGAAACCACGCCAAGGTGGCGTAGCTGTGGGAATCGAGGTGATACGCGAGTGCTCCGCATCGTATTTTCAGGTGAAAGCATGAATACAGGCCATACCATACGGATGATGGCATGAATACATACATATCAGATACAAATATAACCACTGTGGCTCACATCCAAGTACGGAACATTGAGGTGTTCCCTCTCCTAAGCACACACCCACCACATGGGTTAAACACAATACGACACAAGCACCCACAAGAAAACACTGGCAAGAAACCGAAGAATTATCAGGAAGTCGCGGGGAGCTAAAACGGCATCGGAATCCTCCCCGAGCCAATCTTCCCCTTGCCATGACCCTGAGAGGGGCAAGGGAAGGGAGCAAAAGAAATCCCACAGGATGTGCACACACGTTAAGGTGGTCTACCTCTACCCTGCACTGGAGTAGGCATCTGGCATACGATGGACCTTCATGTGAGAGCGATAAACCAGATCCCAGGTATGTGATAGTGACGGGAAGCAAGGGAAGGGATGCACGTGACGGCCCATCCACCAAGCCTGTGACGTACCGACTGGGTCGTAGGAACCAAGAGACCACAGTCCCGTTGCTGCTTATAAAGAGTTTCAAGGCACCCCGTTGACCTACAGGAACCGGCTGTCCGCGTGGCCACAACATTGCATGGCGTGCCTGGTGATGGCAGGGGCAGCCCAGTGAGGCAGCAGGCAGGATAGGAGATTTGAAGAACACGGCAAGTGAGTCTTTAGGCCTTGCCAGGTAAAATGCAGCAGCAAGGTAGCACAGTGTCTTTGCTGCTGGAAGATGGAAGCCACTGGCTCGCAAACCTCTACCACGATGTTAAATCCGCATGGAAGGCACAAACATTCAGAGATAAAGAGCTGTCTGGAAAGCCGGATAGAATGCCACAGAGGGGAAATGAGAGAGGACCTAATCGTTCATTTTGCGATTGGATCGTCCGTGCTAGTAGACCGTAGTAGTAGATGGTGTCCGTCTCATGATCGTACCATCTGATGCCGTCTTCACTCCATTCTGGAGCTTTCGGTGGCTCTGCTCGCGGCCTTCGCTGGGCTGGTTGATACTCGCCACGTTTTCTGCTGTAACGACGCCTCTCCCCGCGCTCGTTGCTGGTAGGGTAGAGGCAGGTTAAGAGGAGTGAGAGGAGTGAGGGGCAGAGAGGACGTTAAGCGGAGGAGGCCTGGGCAGAGTGAGACGGGATACGTGGTCAGTCTGAGGGAGTGAGAGGCAGGAGGGGAGTGAGGGGCGGACAGAAGGGATTCGCGGAGGATTGAGGGGATTCCGGGGAGGCATGAGACGAGTCGGATGGCTAGGTCGATGCAGGGGGGAGGGAGTCACGAGCCAGGCAGAGAAAAGGTTCGATTTTCGTGCAATAGACGCAAGCGCCAAGACGGTTATCTTCAAGCAAGAATGAAATAGCCGCTCTTGAGCTGCAACAGCCTTGTATGTGGAAAAACGAGCGACGTTGAAGTGGTGTGTGGGTGCCCGTGGCTGCAGCGGAGGCGAGATTGCGGAGAGAGAGTAAAGACCAGACATACGCGCTGCGCAAGGGATTCAAAGGAAGGGCCTCAGCTTATGGTAACATACGGGCCGTACCTTGGGCGAAAGAGAGTGCCAGGGTCGCAACGATGAAGATCGCGAGGCCGACGGAGAGAATGGAGCGAGCCATGGCGTTGTAACTTGATTGACTAGCTGGGAGAGATTAAGAACTGAGCGTTAGAATAGGATTTGAGACTGATGGTTAGAGCATGTTTAGTGGCAGGCTTTATAGGCGGGATGAGGCTGCTAGTGTGGTCCAAGAAAGGAGTCGCAATAACTGAGGTGTCAATCGCGGCCTACCGCCGTGCAAAGCGCAAAAGCACTCGCCGAAAACGACTCTGGGTTGGGCTGCTGAAGCAGGGCTCAGGATAGAAGGGAGTTTTACCCTGTTTGCCTGCTTTTCAGACTGAGTTTACTCTATTCTGCAAATACAGCATTTCCCGAATTTACCGCAGTGCTTTCTTGACATGGCTTTAAAATCACCATGTCGACCCCGAGCTGGATCCAACAAGCACCCAGCTGAAACTCTACGCCTCTTGAAAACAAATCGTAAGCTCCCTTCTGTTCGAGAGGCTGATTTTCTGAAACAATCTCCAAGTCACTGAATTCACACGTAAGGCCAAGAATTGTAGTCACACGTGCAGCATCCGGGAAACAAAAGAGCAGGTCCACTTCAGAGATAATTGGCTAAGCAATTTGAGCACTTCAGGTCCAATCGATGTTCCTCATCGCTCAGCCTACTTTCTCTTCTGGCTCACCCTGCAATTTCCTGGCTACGCTGCGTCTGGCACACTGCAGTGGCAGGGTGAACCTCGTCACAACTCGGATCCGTCAGGTACCCTTGAAACGAACTGAGATTGCTGCTCCTGAACTGAAAATTGTGAATTGTGGAATTTCGGTGATAATTCAACAGAAATAATGTACTTTGCGGGCTGCCCGGTCTGGAAGAAAATCTGTGACGCGTTGAAAGTCGAACACATGGAAGATCGAACCCCAGAATCAATCTGCCACCGTCGATGGGGATCCCGATTATTTTGTGAACCTGTACCGCGTTCCGAGAATTTCTACAGGCTGCCGCAGACGGCGGTGGAAATAATAACTTCAAATTAACAAGGATTCCAATACAGTTCATTAGTAGCAAAATGGCTTATTCTAAACAGTCTAAGGCAATAATGGCTGAACTTCTCTCACCTTAAGTCTGTTTTTAAATGTAAAAATGAGACCAAACCCCCAGGATATAATTAACTACATTATTTGAGGAAAATATCAACAACCATCCCGCTTTTTTCTTGTAGAGATAAATTCCAGTTCAAATGTTTCTGCCTTTATCGGTCTCCATCTGACAGTTGCCGGTATCGCTTCAGCTCTCCTGACTCATTGAATTCATCCTAGTTACTGTTTGCTCCTGTTACGTACGGGAATTCCTTCACTTAATTTGATATCACAACACCTCCCTTCATTCCTAGCCGTAGCAAGTGCTGACTCACTTGACCACTCCCATGGAGCTGGTGCTGTGCTAGTTCTGCTGGCCTGGCAATCGTTTGGTGAGGAAGTCAACTGCCATGTCAGTGGTGGGGAAGTACGTTAGATCGAATTTATTATTGTCGATTTCGTCTTCGGTGAAGAAGTACCGCAACGCGATGTGCTTCGTTATGTTGACGAAGCCAGGCTTGTTCGCGATCTTGAGCACGCTCTTGTTGTCACAGTGGAGGCCAAAATTAGGTGATGTAGGGATTTTCTCCTCTTGCATGAGCTCTTGCAGATAGAGTCATTCGCGAACTGCATCAGTTACGGCGATGTACTCTGCTTCAGCTGACGACAGGGCAACCAACTCCAACTTCTTGAAATTATAGGAGATTGGCCCTGTTGGCTCGAGGCGAAAGACGAAGCCCATTCGTGGCCGTCAATTGGCAGGGTCAGCGGCATGATCTGCGTCCACGTAGCCAGCGGAGTTGACTGATGGTATTCTCAGCGTTGAATAGGAGAGGCTGATGTCATGCGTGGAGATGAAGTACTGAAGGGTGCTCTTCAGGTCCAATAGATTCTCCACCATTGACTTCCGTGAGTATTGTGCTAGCTGGCTGGCGATGTACACGAAATGTTGGGCCTGCAGGTGACAGAGGTGAATAGCGGGCAGCCCAGTCCTGCAGAGGACAGAGGTTTGTTGTCCCGTTTGAGGTTGGCACCAGGCGATCGGTGGGGAGTTGAGAGTGGTGCGGGTGAAATCTTGAATCGCTCGCCGTGTTGCTCTGCGTATTTGGAAGCTGCTTTTGGCATGTAGGAGATGTTGAGCCCCAAGAACTGCATCACGTTATGGTCGATGGTGATGTCGAAGCGCTGCGCCAGATCCTTTTCGAACAGATCGAGTAGCGCATTGCTCGTTCCTGTGTACACCAGGTCGTCGACGTACACTATCAGAAGAATGTAGTTGCCGCAAAAGTGGGGGCGATTGAGAAGAAACGAGGATGGATGAACTATGAATGAACTGAGTACAAGTACTAACCCTAATTGGGTTGTACCCCTTATGGGCTACCCCACTATAGCCTACACAATATGCACAAGCTATATGTTCTAACACACCCCCATAGGCAAAGTGGGGGAGAACAAGGGGTCACAAGACCAGTCAAACAAAGCAAAGCAAAGCAAGCTCAGGGTGGATCACAAAGTCACCCCACATTACGAGCACAAGCTCAAGGCCACAAGGCCAAATCACATGCAGGAGTACATATATACAAAAAACTAGACAAGCAAGACCAGGAGTATATATATGCAATAGTACAAGCAAGGTCAAGAGGTGAGCAAGTGAGGCAAGACAGGCACAAGACCCAGCTGCGTGCAGAAGCGCTGATGATCACAAGGCGCAAGTGCCTTGGTGAAGACATCAGCAGTGTGTGGAAAATAGAACGAGAATGAATGAACTATGAGTGAAGTGAGTACAAATAGCAAAACCCTAATTGGGTTGTACCCCCTAAGGTATACCCCATTGTAGCCTACACAGCAGCATAAGCTACATATATGTTCTGACACACCCCCATAGGCAAAGTGGGGGAGAACAAGGGGTCAAAAGACCAGTCAAGCAAAGCAAAGCAAAGCTCAGGGTGGATCACAAAGTCACCACACAGTCCGAGCACAAGAGCAAGGCCACAAGGCCAGTTCACATGCAGGAGTACACACATATATATATAAAGCTAGACAAGCAAGAGCAGGTATATATATGTGACAGTACAAGTAAAGTCAAGAGGAGAGCAAGTGAGGCAAGACAGGCACAAGACCCAGCTGGGTGCAGAAGCGCTGATGGTCACAAGGCGCGAGTGCCTTGGTGAACACATCAGCAGTGTTGGCCTCAGAGGCCACGTACGCAAGCCGCAACTGTCCACGCTGCTGTAGCTCACGAGCAAGGAAGTAGCGAAGAGCAATGTGCTTCGTTCTGTGCTCCAGACGCTGCTCTCGACACAAGGCCAGCATGGCCTTGTTGTCTACGTACACCACTGGAGGAGAACGAGGCGGCTCTCCAAGGTCAGTCAGCAGGTAGGTGAGCCAGCGAAGCTCCTGTGCAGCCATGGCCCCTGCGTAGATCTCAGCCTCACAACTCGAGCTGAGAACCGAAGACGAGCGAGTAGCCCGCCACGAGACAGAGCCGGAGCCAAGGCTGAAGGTGTAACCCTGTGACGACCGCTGCGTAGCCTGGTCGTCAGCCCAAGAAGCGTCCGCGTGACCTGTAAGTACCACTGGACTCCGCCCTCCAAGCACTAGCCCCATGCCCGACGTACTGCACAGGTAGCGCAATACCCTCTTCGCTGCAGCCATGTGCTCTGGTCGGTGTCTCCCAGGAGCAACATAGCGTGCAAGAATGCTAAGAGGGTATGCAAGGTCAGGTCGTGTGCAGGTCATCAGGTACATGAGGCAGCCAACAAGCTCTGGGTACGGGCCACTCGACTCTACGGACTCATCCGAAGGCAGAGCTGAGAGCGAGTGGCGAGTAGACAGAGGAGTGGCCTGAGGCGAGGAGTACGTGAAGCCGAAGCGCTGAAGGACCTGCTGCACCATGTGTGACTAAGTCAAGGTAATGGTGCAGCGTGCTCTGTCCCGAGTGATCTGCAAGCCAAGGTAGCTGCGCAGTTCACCCAGGTCTGTGCACGTGTGTCTCTTCAGCAGCTCGGACTTCACGTAGGCGAGTCCAGCAGTGTCCGCTGTGGCAAAGACCAAGTCGTCGACGTACACGAGGATGTAGAACAGCGGCAGTGAAGTGTCGGTGCGCAGAAACAGCGACGGGTCAGCAGTAGAAGGAGCAAACCCAAGGGCCGCAAGTGTAGTCCTCAGTGTGTCGTGCCACTCACGTGGTGCCTGGCGGAGACCGTAGACTGGCCGTCGGAGGCTCCACTAGGTGCCAGGAGGGAAAGTCCGAGTGAAGCCAGGTGGACGGCGCAGCCAGATCTCCTCGTGCAGGCTCCCCTGCAAGAACGCAGTACTGAAGTCGAGAGAGTGAAGCTCGTAGTCGCGCTGAGTGGCTATGTGCAGCAGCACCCGAAGAGTGGTCATCTTCGGGGTGGGAGAGAAGGTCTGAAAGTAGTCAACTCCCTGCCGCTGACTGAAGCCACGAGCGACGTACCGCGCCTTGAAGACAGGTGGAGAGCCCGGCGGCCGCTTCACCCTGAAGATCCACATGCCACTGACGATGTTCGCCCCAGGAGGGGGAACCGCGTCAACGTAGGTGCCTGTGGACTTCCAGGAAGCCATCTCTGCATCCATAGCTGCCTGCCACTGAGAGGAGTAGGGACCCTCTACGGCCTCCGCGTAAGAGCGCGGAGTCGGGATGTCTAGTGCATCCGGGTCTCCCTCAGGAGCAAGCAGTACAGACGCGAGATGAGGTGAAGCAGCAGCCAGACACTGGAACTCCTCCTGCCTGTCCTCTAGGACGTCCGTGCCAAGAGCACACTCACCCCCGACGGACGGAGGACAGACAGACGCAGACTCAGCAACAAGACTAGCAGCGTAGT